ACAGCCCAGTTTGCACCCAGGGAGGAGCCCCAGCCTTGGGGTGTCACCAGGTGCTTCCCAATGAGCACCTTCCCTATCCGTCCAGATCATGGGCTGGGGCAGGAGAGGGCAGGATCTTGCCTCAGATTTAGGGATGATCTTCAAGCACTGACCCCCTGGTGGACCCCGGCTTAGCTCTGGCTGAAGCGTGGGCGTGCCCAGCAGGAGGACACAACACTGGACATCATGTACTCAGAGTATGGGGGGGCAGAGTGGGAAGGGCTGCCGTCCAGGGCTCCAGAGGGGGCATCCCCGGAAGCTGGCATGCCCCCTGACGCTCCCCCTCTCCTGGCTCTGAGAACTTCCCCTGGCTGCCATCCAGAGGCCAGAGACAGGCTAGGGTCATTGCCTCTGCCACGACCACAGCCCAGGCCTCCCGTACACACTGGGGAGCGGAGACTCGGGGAAGCAAGATCCTCCCTTCTCTGCAGCCTCACAGAAGGGCAGAGGATGGCCTCCACTTGCCCATTTCTAAAGCTCAAGGACTCCCAACTGGCAGGACAGCCAAAAGGTTGGCCCCTGGCTGCCCGGGCAGCTGGATGGAGGACCTCTCAGCAAGGAGACTAGTATGGGGCGATTTCCACGAGGCTGGGACTCACCTGCAGCACCCAGCATAGCTGCACGCCCTGGAGCCAGCATCTGAGCCCAGGTATGGCTGGTGGCGTCTGTGTCACCATGCAGGCCCCCACTCCTGCAAATCAATAGAAGGCAAATCAATAGAAGCCTGGACTGAGGAATCACCACTTAATTCTTTCAACGGAGTCCTTGACTGAGAATGATCTGGGTGGCCGGGTGGGCAGTGGTCTGCTCTGTCTGGGAGCCAGGGAGGAGGCAGCTCGGCCTCCTAGTCTTGTCTCCCAGCCTTCATCACAGCCCAGATCAGCAGGGTGCAGAGCCAAGCTACTCCTGCCCATGGGCCCAGCCCCAGCCCCTCCTGCCCGTCTGAGCCTTCTGGTCTTGCTAAGCCAATGGCCACTGACTGTGCATTCCTGCACATCGTTCCAGATGCACAAACACTACCCCTTGGCACTGCCAGCCTCAAGGCCACCTCACGATCAGTAGAAGGACAGCAGTGGGCCACTGTGGTGCTGTAACTTCACACCAGGTGGACTCACCCTTGGCTTCTCCCTTGTCATCAGCTGATCACAGCCACCCCTGCCCCAGGCTGTCAGTGAGAGGGAGGAGGAGCATCAAAGAGGGCAAGGGGGCAGGGTGCCAGTAGCTCAGGCAGAGCCCTGCCCTGTGTGTGCCACTCCTGGTAGTGGGGGACAGCTGCAGGGCCTGTGCCCTGTGTGTGCCACTCCTGGTCGTGGGGGACAGCTGCAGGGCCCTTCCCTGTGTGTGCCACTCCTGGTCGTGGGGGACAGCTGCAGGGCCTGTGCCCTGTGTGTGCCACTCCTGGTCGTGGGGGACAGCTGCAGGGCCCTTCCCTGTGTGTGCCACTCCTGGTCATAGAGGACAGCTGCAGGGCCCTTCCCTGTGTGTGCCACTCCTGGTCGTGGGGGACAGCTGCAGGGCCCTTCCCTGTGTGTGCCACTCCTGGTCGTGGGGGACAGCTGCAGGGCCCTGCCCTGTGTGTGCCACTCCTGGTCGTGGGGGACAGCTGCAGGGCCTGTGCCCTGTGTGTGCCACTCCTGGTCGTGGGGGACAGCTACAGGGCCTGTGCCCTGTGTGTGCCACTCCTGGTCGTGGGGGACAGCTGCAGGGCCCTGCCCTGTGTGTGCCACTCCTGGTCGTGGGGGACAGCTGCAGGGCCCTGCCCTGTGTGTGCCACTCCTGGTCGTGGGGGACAGCTGCAGGGCCCTGCCCTGTGTGTGCCACTCCTGGTCGTGGGGGACAGCTGCAGGGCCCTGCCCTGTGTGTGCCACTCCTGGTCGTGGGGGACAGCTGCAGGGCCCTGCCCTGTGTGTGCCACTCCTGGTCGTGGGGGACAGCTGCAGGGCCTGTGCCCTGTGTGTGCCACTCCTGGTCGTGGGGGACAGCTGCAGGGCCTGTGCCCTGTGTGTGCCACTCCTGGTCGTGGGGGACAGCTGCAGGGCCTGTGCCCTGTGTGTGCCACTCCTGGTCGTGGGGGACAGCTGCAGGGCTGCTCCGCCCAGGACTTTGTGGGTCTGACAGAGCTCAGCTCCCGATGGCAGTCCTCACCAGGGGCCCTTAGGTCTCCCTCCATCACCACCCAGTCTCTACGAGGGCGGGGCTGGTGTGGATGGCGTGGCTCCCTGCTGCAACCGGGTTCCTTGCTCCAGAACTCGAGGGGTCAGCGTTGCGGCTTTCCCCCTGGGGTTCACCATAAACATGGTCTTGCCCTCTCTGGAAGCCTCCAGCACCACGGGATCTGGGGTCACACGTGAGGCTGCTGTGTGTGGCCTGGAGCTGCTGCACAGAGCTCCTGCTCTGGCACCACTCAGCCTTCCGTGTCCCCAGTAAGGGGGTCAGAGGGAATCCCTGTGTGCAGAGCGTGGCTCCTGGGGCCTCCGGAGGCCTGCCAAGCATCATGCTTCCCAGCAGAAGAGACGCAAGCTTGCCTCCTCTTGGCTCCGTATGATGATTATTTCACTTGGCCTTCACTTGTGGAGGCCATGGTACCTGGATGTTTGGTCAAACTAAATATCTGGAAGTCAAATGTTTCTGTGGAAGTAAAGCAGATATGTAATGGTTGGTGGGCCTCTCCCAACCAGTTGAAAAATCTTATGGGTTGTGTTGTTACTACATGCTGGAGACTACTGATATTCCACCTAGCACCAATGGCACCAGGTACTGGTGACTTTTTGGACTTTAGGTATTTTTTTCCTCAGTGAGCTCATTTATTTATAAAAAAATTATAAAATTTATCTTTTACTGGGGGAGGGAGGGTGTGAAGAGTTAATGATATAGAATTTCAGTTTTGCAAGACAAAAGGTTCTGAGCTTGGTGTGGTGGTGCACACCTGTAATCCCAGCAGTCAGAAGGCTGAGACAGGAGAATCTGGAATTCAAAACCAGCCTCAGCAAAAGCAAGGCTCTAAGCAACTCAGTGAGACCCTATCTCTAAATAAAATACAAAATAGGGCTGGGGATGTGGCTCAGTGGCTGAGAGCCCTTGAGTTCAATCCCCAGTACCAAAAAAAAAAGATGGGTGGTAGAGATGGTTACACAATGTGAATACCTCATTCTCCTGTACTGTGGCTTAGAAGGGATTAAGACGGTAAACTCTGATATGTGTATTTTGCCACAATTAAGAATTTATAGGCTGGGGTCCTGGCTCAGTGGTAGAGCACTTGCCTAGCACATGTGAGACACCGGGTTTGATTCTCAGAACCACACAAAAATAAATAAAATAAATGTATTGTGTCCATCTAAGAAAAGTTTAAAAAAATAATTTATAAAAATTGCCCTTGACACATGCACTGGTATAAAGACAAATACATTCATATCATATATGAAAATATTTTCTTCTACCTAAAAGTTCAGTGTTTTCTTCTGACTTTAAAAGAAATTAGAACATTTCTGTGGGCTCCTAAAAGTATCGTCTCCTGTGTCTGATGGTGCACAGCCCAGCAAAGGGTATCTGGGTGGGGTGCCAAAGGTCTGCTGCAATCCTGTCGATGGCCATAAAAGTGAACTTGAATGAAGAAGCCTCAACACCATCAAAATACAACCTGGAATGACATTAAGTTTACATATTAACTTGGGAAAAAATTGAACGTTTAAATAGTTGGAATTCCATGAATATAGATGCTTATCTCTTCTTTGGGTTTGGTGTCTTTCAGTATACTTTTATATTTTCCTTAATTTGGGTCTTGCACATTTTATGCTAATTGATTCTTAGGCATTGTATCATTTGTATCACTGTGATGAAGGTGATAATTTTCTCTGCTGCCATCTAAAGTTGCTAGTGTTCATGTTTCTACTTTATTCTTATTAAGCTCTTGTTAATGCTTATAATCTTTCAATAGGGACTCTCAGATTTTCTAGATGAATCTTCAAAAAACAATGTAAGAAACATTCGTGTCTTATATTTTTTTCTTGTCTTATTGCATTTGCTAGGACTTCCAAAATAACATCAAACACCTGTGGTGGTTTCATGTACTAACTCATCTATTTTAGGAATCTATGATCTACTCCATGCATCTATATTATTTCATTTATATTTTTAAAAAACTGGTAGTTAAGCACTTCGTTACCATTAAGCTTGTTTCTCAAAGTTTTCCTGAATACTCATTTTGTTCCTCACCTAAAGGACTTTTAGAATCTCTGTTTAATCATGATGTTTGCTGAAAAATAGTCCTGAACATGTTTAGGAAGTAGATTTGGTTTTCCTTAGAATTTTTGTGGGAATGGCTGCTAAATTTTATCACATGCTTTCTATAGTACCTAGTGACAAGAGCATGTGGCTTTTCTCCTAAGAAATGGAAGGTGAAAGGAGGGGGGCATTTGCTTGGGGGAGGACCTGTCAGAGAAGATGTCTCCAAGGAGGCGCACGAGGAGACCAGGTTCTCTCCTCACAAACTTCACGTTAGGACCTCTTCGCTTTGGGGGCAGAGGGAACCAGCCGCAGAAGCGCTTTCAGGATCCCCGGAGGCCTCGGAGGCCCGGGGCTGAGGAACTCGCCAGGGTCGGCCTGGGCGCTGCTAGGAGGCGGTGCGCGGGGTACCGGCGGGGCGCTCCCCTTCTCCGGGGCTCACAGCAGCGGCTAGGAACCTGCATTTTACCGCCCATTCTGCAGATGAGGACGCCGAGGCCCCGGGTCTGGGGTCCCCCAGCAGAGCCCGGACGAGGAGGCAGCTCGGCGGACTCCCCAGCCGGGCACTCCCGGGCACGTCCACCAGATGGGGGTGAGCGCGAAGGGACGGAGCGGTCCGGGCGCCGGGGTGCCGCCCGCCGGTCCCTCCTCCAGCCCTCCCAGCCCGTCGCGGTCCCGCCCGCCGGGGAGGGCGGGTCCGGCCACCGAGCCCGCCGGCCGGCAGAGCAGAGCGCGCGGCGGGGAGCGCAGGGTCGGAGCCGTGACCATGGCGGCGGCGGCGCTTCTGCTGGGCCTGGCGCTGGCGGCGCAGCGGGCGGGCGCGGGCATGGGCGCGTGTTACGACGGCGCGGGGCGCCCGCAGCGCTGCCTGCCGGTGTTCGAGAACGCGGCGTTCGGGCGGCGCGCGGAGGCCTCGCACACGTGCGGCAGCCCGCCCGAGGACTTCTGCCCGCACGTGGGCGCCCGGCGCGCAGGGGCGCAGTGCCAGCGCTGCGACGCCGCGGACCCCCGGCTCCACCACAACGCCTCCTACCTCACCGACTTCCACAGCCAGGACGAGAGCACCTGGTGGCAGAGCCCGTCCATGGCCTTCGGCGTGCAGTACCCCAACTCCGTCAACATCACCCTGCGGCTGGGTAAGCGCGGCCGGCCACCGCCTCCCTGTTCCCGTCCCATCCTGGGCAGGGGCAGAGGACCCGGCGCCTGTGCGCCCTGGGCGCGGCTGCGGCACCCTGAGAGGGCTCGGGAACGTGACCTGCGCCCTGAGGAGCCGGAAGGATAGACTGAGGGGCGTCCTTTGGGCTGGGGGTGGGAGTCAGGAAGCCTTTTGGGGTTCCTTTGCTGAGCTGTGGGTCTGGGCGCAATGACATTCCCTGGTAATGGTTTTCCAACCTAGACCTAGAGCTGTCAGGAGGGGAAGATGACCCCCAGGAGTGACCTAGTCCATCCACCCTCCTAATCTGGGATCTTGTCTCAGTGGGCTCTTGCGTCTGCATGGAGGCCCTGGGAATAGGAACCCAGGCGTTTACCACCCAATCAGAGCTGTTCAGCTCTCTGGGCAGGAGGACCAAGTTGCATCCTGCCATTGGGTAGCTGGACCAGTTGGCAGGACCTCTCCTCTGCCTTGCCCATGACCCCCTCCATCCCCGCCTACCAAGGTGCAGGAAACCTCAGGTCTCTGGGAATCAGGATCAGAGTCTCCACCCAGCCCTTACTTGGCCCCACTGCAGGGAACTGGAGTGCTCCCTCTCCCTCCAAGTCCAGTGCTGTCCAGTGTCCTCCCTGGTCCCCTGCCACGCGCCCTGTATCATGCGAACAGTTAACTAATTCAGCCTCTGCTACTCTCTCAGGGAGCGTATTTTCACCAGTTACTCTTCCTTATCTGTGACATCAAAATCGCCCAAAGCTTTGGCAATTCAGGGGTATTTTTATAACTCATTTTGGCTGCTAAATCTGACCTGAGGCTACTCACAGCTTTGTTTATTCTAGAAAGAGTGAATATTTGTACATTTTGCTACTGAAATCTCATTTGAATACAGCCTGTAGCCCCAGAGCAAATGATTGGGGATAACACAATATATAGTATGAAGCCTGCATTGTCTTTCTTTACTTGGGGAAGTTTAGAGATCCGAACCATGCCTGGAACCAATGAATTTGGATAAGGGAATGATGGAATTGTGTCCCCATTTTTTCAGATGAAAAATTGGGGGATCAGAGAGGTTAAGTTTTTCTTCTAAAGGCAGACAGCTGGTTATGGACATCTGCAGACATCAGAGGTCAGAGCATAAAGTTAACAAGAGCTGTACCACCCACAACTGAGCTGGGCTTCCCCAGGCCTGGCTGACAGAGCCCTGAGGAGAGCTAGGAGGTGACCTTGGAAAAGGGTGGTGGGGAGGACACTGAGCCCCCTCAGCAGAACACACAGCTGCTGGAAGAGGGCTGGCTCAGTTCTCCATGTCGCATCTGTCACCTTCTCTGGGACTATCTGGAACTCTAGGTGAGGCTTCTGGATGGGGCTGGTCTCTACCTAGACAGGAAGTCAGCAGGGAGGCTGGGAGAGCTGGCTGGCTGGGGCTGGCAGGACCCCAAGGCCACAGGGGAAGGAATCTGGGATGGGGTGGGAGGTTGCGAGGGAGACACAGTGTTCCATAGCAAAGGGTGTCACATGTGTCAGTGGGGTCCAGACGCCAGAGGAAGGGACTCCGCCCAGCACAAACGATGTGGGAAAGTCGATTGGGGGACACGATGGGGGGGGACACGTTCACATTCTGGTCCTAGGGCAGTGCCGGCCTGGGCGCTGCGCAGCCTCCCTGCACACTGCCACACTGCCTCGGACCCTTAGAAGAAGGTTGGTCCTGATTCTCCTGCAGGCAAGGTCCCGAGGCTCAGAGGTGGCACTGCAGGATCCTGCAAAGAGCTCAGGTGTGCTGCCCCTGCGTGTCTCCCCTGGGCCGGCACAGGGCACATGGAGGGACTCCAAAGTGAACACAGAACACACGCGCGAATGAATGAGTGATTGACAGGTCAGCTCCTCCATCCTGGCGTCTGGGCCCAGCTCCGGTTCTCTTCTGCCTGCTCTGGGGGGCAGAATGGAATAGCAATCATGAAATGTGAAGTGGGGCTGTGGACTCAGGCCCGGCTGCTCGCGGGCACGTCAGGCTGCTTGTCCTCACCTGTGCGGAGGGGATAAGAGCTGCCCCCCGGGAGCCGTAAGCCAGTTAGTTCTAAGAGCTCAGGTGGGAGCGTGACAGCCCTGTGGCCAGCAGCCCCGTGGTCCCTGCAGGAGGGCTCTCTGTGGGGAACAGGAAATGCTCCTGCTTCCAGGAGACAGCCCGCCCGGGCCCACAGCAGCCCCAGATTTGGCTCATTGGGGTTCCAGGTAACTCAGATTTGCTGTAGGCTAAGCCAGGCCTGCAGAATATCAGGGGAAGGAGAGGTCTAGGGCTTTGGGGTCCCCCATGGAGGCCCTGATCATTGGGTAAGGTGGGCTGGGACCCCCACCCACCCAGTCTCAGGCCACCTCTGCTTGCTCCCCTTCCCTTTGAAGTCTCTTGGGAGGGGAGAGTGGGCGGCAGCTCTGGTCCAGGGTGTGGCGGGGGTGGGGGGAGGCTTGGTGGCCTGGATGGAGGTCTCTGCTTTCCCAGCCCCCTGCAGCTCCGACATCTGTTCCAGATCCAGCAGTGGCTGAGCTGAGCCTTCCTGCCTGAGATGAAAGGCCACAGCGGGTCTGGCAGCTCCCAGGCCTTCACTGAGGCCGGGGATCTGGTGGGCTGGGGCCTGGTGGCGGGTGGGGAGAGTGGGGGCGTAAGCGGTCACTGGGGTGACAGAGCGTCCAGAGAAGCTGTTCGCATGCCAAGAATGTGCTGGGTCAGCACCTCCTTCTACAGATGGGGAAACGGAGGCTCTGAGAGTTGGAGCCCTTGTCCGAGGCCCCGTGGGCCCTTGGGGGCAGAGCTGGGAGGTCCTCCTCGGGGTGTTCCACCTGGGGTCAGGATGCTCCCCTTGCCTTGAGCCGGGCTTAGGGGGCGCGGGGCAGGCAGAAGCAGCTCTGTGCGCCTGGGGACCTGCAAGGCCCTGAGGGAGCCAGCCGAGGGAGTGAGGGGACAGCAGGGCTGGATGGCCACATCCAGGAGCCTGGCCCGGGAGGGGTGGCCGTCGGGGGACCTGAAGCCCAGAGGAGCGTGCAGCCAGCTGGGTCTCCAGGCTCTTCCTGTGAGTGGGCGGCCTGTTTGCCTTGGCTGGCGGGCGCTGGTCCTCCTTCCCTCTCCCTGGGGCTCTGCTGGAACACTGGGCCCCAGGCAGGCCGGGGGTCAAGGCAGGGCCCTGCTGCGCCTGCCTCCACCCGTAGGATCGGCCCCCACGCCCCCTGGGCCCAGCTGGCCTTGGTCCCCTCACCCCCTCCGGGGCTTGCAGTGGGACGTCCCATAGCCCAGGAGGGGCTCAGCTGCCTCCTGCAGCCTCTGGGACATCCCCGGCCCCCTCACTTCTCCTGCACAGCCCCTGCCCCGCCCCAGGGCTTCAGAGTGGCCCGAGGCTGCCGTGCGCCAGTTCCTGTGCCCGGGAGACGAGCACCCGTTGGCCCCTCAGCCGGGGGCGCCTTGCCCAGGAGCCCTCTGCCCTCCAGCATGGCCCGGGCCTGCCTGTGCCTGCAGCCCCCGCCCCGCGCCACGGTCTGGCTGGCGCTGTGTGAGCTCTGGGTTTGCGGCTTCACCCAGCTCCGAGCGGCAGAGGGGTGGCCTGTTTCCACACCTGCACCCAGCACCCGGCTCAGGGCTCCCAGCCAGGGTGCCAGGCCTGGGCTGCCCAGATGAGTGGGCAGGATGGCCGCTGAGCCACGCCTGGCGCTGCCCGAGGGCTTTGCAGGCCCTCGTCGCTGGCATTGCTACACCGTGTGGCAGGTGGGGAAACTGAGGCGTTCCCTTCAAGTCCCTGCCCAGTCAGGTTCAGGGACATCAGGTGGTGCCACTCACCCTCCAGAGCATCCGCACCTGGAGCTGTGGCTTTCACAGCAGGGCCTCTCCCTGGCCCAGCCCTCTGCCCGCCTCCCTGGCCTGCTGTGCCCAGGCCAGACCTCCCCCAGCTGTGCTCTTGCCCCACCTCCGCCCTGGCTTTGCCTGTTGGAATCACGTCCCCATGTGAGCCTCCACGGTGCCTCTCACCTGGCCCAGGTAATTTAAGCAGACTCCTGAACATCAGCCAGCCCTCGATGTCATACAAGAGCCCCAAACCTTGAGTCCCACAGTAAAGGCACCCGGAGGGTGAGCAGTGGTGTTACTCACAATGGTCACCATCGGAGGAACCCGGGTGTCCATTGATGGGTCATGATAAGAAAAATGTAGTCTGTCCCTGCAGTGGAATATTAATCAGCCTTGAAAAGGAAGGAAATCCCCACACAAACCGCAACACAAGGACCTCATGCCAAGTGAAATAAGCTGATCACAGGGGGAAGTTCTGCCTGATCCCACTTAGACCAGGTCCCTAGGCAGATTCATAGAGAAAGCAATGGGGTGGCCAGGGGAGTTAGTGTTTAATGGGGACAGTTCCTGCTTGGGAGGATGGACCTGTTGTGGAGGTGGGTGGTGGTTACAGTTCCCGGCAACAGGCATGGATTAGTGCCACTGGGCCGTACATGTCCAAACGGCTAAGATGTCAAGTGTGGTTCGTGCCTGTTGTGAAGGTAGAGGTGCCTCCTTCCTCCCTGGTCACCCTGTGCACTGAAGCAAGACACTGGTGACTGAGCTCCCGCTTGGTATTCTCCAGCCCTGCCCTTCCCTGGATTACCATCTGCCCTTCTCTCCGTTGTTACCCAGCCCCAGGGGCTGCATCTTTTCTAACATTTATTTTTAGTTTTAAGTGGACACAAAATCTTCTTTTACTTTTACGTGGTGCTGAGGGTGGAACGCAGTGCCCCCTGCATGCCCAGCCGGGGCCATCTGCTTATTAGGGGTTTCTTACGGTGCTCTCAACTGCCCTGTCCTCCTTGCAAACGAGCGGTCTGTATACTCGGGTCAGCTCGCAGCTCGTTCTGGACCTCAGGACCCTAACACAGAGCCCTGGGCAGTGAGCACTGACAAAACCCTTTGCTCTCCCCAGGTAGAGAGCAGACTCCACCATCTCTCCATATGGGGGCGGAGACGGGGTCTGGAGAGGGAGAGCCGGGATGTCCTCGAGTCCAGGCTCGGTGCAGCTGGACCCGGGTCTCTGCTGTCCTGCTGTGCTCACGGAGAGTCCCCAGCTCCTCACGGGGCTCGCCATGTTCAGAATTGCTGAGAGTCAGGATGGGAGAGGAAGGACCGGCAGCGGTGGACAGACGGTAGCCTTGGTGACCCTGCTCTGATCCCCGCGTGCAGGCAGCGGCTCTCGGCCGGGTTCTCATGCCCGCCATGGGCCGGGCAGCCTCTCCCATGCGTCCCCTCCCGCCCCACCCGGGCCCCTGCTCCCAGATGGCTCCAATTATAGGGCTTTGTTTTGTTTCCATTTTCCCAAAATAAGCCTGGCTCTTGGGCTCACGCTGCTTGGTCAGTGCCGGATGTGGGCTGGCCGGGCTAGGGCTGTCACGGTGTCACTCTTGACAGGCTATATGTCCCAGCTGTAGGACTGTCCATGCCTCTGGCGCTCAGCCTGCAGGGCCCTCTGCCATCCCAGCTCCTGCACTGGGCAGCAGGTAAAGGCTGGCAGGGGGTGGCACTGATGAGTGGCACTGATGGACCCACAGAGTCCCCAGGGGAGGGCAGCCGGCTCCAGGCAGCAGCTTCGGGGTCCCGTGGTTAAGTAGGGTGTCGGCTCTTCTGTAAGCTGGTGGGCAAGTCCTTTTCCTTCCCTGTGCCTTGGGCTCCTCCTTAGTAAAGTGCTGCTTGGGTGTACCACACGCAGAAAGCAAGTCACACAGTAGGCGCTCAGTCCAGTGGGACAAGTCAGGATGCCTGGGAGCCAGCCAGGTAGGGAGTGCAGGGAACAACATTCCAGGCAGGGTGGCCTGGAGGTGAGGGAGTCATGCTGTCTAGAGTGGCACTCCTCCCCACTCACAGTTGGGTGACATTTTGGCTTAGCTGTCCTGGTAAGAATGTACCTGAGTCAATCACCCTGAAGCCTCCCTGGCTCCTGGAGCCCATGCGGGCCGGGGTTGTGGCTGTGAATTTCATTCTTGCCACTGTTTACAAGGTCTTGGGGCTGTTTCCTTCCCCAGCCTTTTGGTTGCCTTTGGCCGAAATTTTTTCATTAAAAACAGGGATTAAGTTGCTTTCTCCGTCCTTCTAATTAACTCTTGTAACGAACAGTTCCCGCCGCGTCTCTGACATGCCGTCTCTCTCACCTCCTGGCGTGGCAAGCAAGGGAAACGCCTGGCGTGCCCAGAGCAGGAGGTTGGCATTCGCATGGGTCCCAGCCGCGCCCCTCCCAGGCGGCTCCAGCTGCCAGCTACCTTCCAGGCTCCGAGCCCGTCTGAGAGGGGGCCAGAGGGGTCCGGCCGGCGCTGGGCGTTTTCTGAGGACTGGGCCCTGCTCACCTGCAGCGGCCTCCAGGAATGCAGGGGTGGGCGGAACCCTGCTGGCCCAGGTCCCAGCCGCCCGGGTCTGCTCCGCTAGGGGCCACACGCTGCAGCTGTGCCGGGCGGACCTGGAAAGACATCTTAAAAGGGAACAGGGCAGGCGGTTGCTTCTTTGAAAATCGTAAAAAATGTGTTTTCAGTTTTTAAATTAGAACAAGCTTCAGGAGAGGAACAGCCGAAAACCGAGGGGGACATCACTCCCTGCCCCGGGGACAGCAGGCTGAGCTCTGGGTGTCCCCCTCCACCCCAGCTGTCCCTCCGGGGACTCGGGGATCTGTGATGGAGACTCCGCTGCATCACTCTGGGCCTTTGTTCTCCCTGTGACATTCTGACCTGGGTGTTCCCCTGATGACAAGCTGTTGGCCGAGGGAATGGCTTCTGTCATTGTAGGACTTGATGTTCCTTGAGTCCCCCGCGCTCCCCAGGCCCAGGTGGCCCCTCCTGTGTGAAATGCCTCGGTGGACGCTGTCCTGCCTTTGGGGTCCTTGCCCGCATGGGTTCCTTTGCCAAAGGCCGGAAACCTTCCTGCGGCTCTTTGCCCAGGTCACCCCGCTGTCCTCTCAGAGGACCAATAGATTTATGGCCCTACGTTTTTCTTTCAGTGTGGTGAACGCTTAACGTTCACATCTCGGCCTCTTTTAAGTGGACATTTTGATGACATTAAGCACGTTGACACTGTTGGGCAATCGTCACCCCCAGGACTCCTTTCATCTGGTAAAGCAGAAACCACGTCCCCCCCAGACACTGATGGCCCCATCCCTCCGCCCCTGGTGCCCCATTCAATGGGGGGCTGAATTCCGTCCCTATGAATGTGACCGCTCCAGGGACCTCATGCCAGGGCATCCTATGGGATCCGTCTTTCATGACGGGCTTCTTTCACTTAGCAAAATGTCCTCAAAGTGTCACCAGATAGGGACCCAGAAGGGAGAAGGGGACCCCAACTTGGCCCTTGCAGGCTCCTGATGGACATCACAGAATGTGTCGGGAAGAGGCACACCAGCGGGTCCCTTGGGAAGGCAGCAGAGCAGCGGGATGGGCGGGAGGCGGTGGGGGCTCTGTGGGGAACAGACCTTCTTGGGGGCCTTGGTCTCTTCTTCTAAAGGAAACTGTCGATAGTGAACACGGGGGGGGGGGGGGGGGGCGGGGCGGGGGCTCAGAGGTAGAGCGCTCGCCCAGCACACGAGGGGCACTGGGTTCCATCCTCAGCACCACATTAAAAAAAAATGAAATAAAGATACTGTGTGTCCACCTACAACTAAAAACTAAATACTAAAAAAAAATAGTGAACCCAGGGGTGCCGGCCTGAAAACTCGGTTCCTTTAATCACGGCACCAGGAGGGTCCTGTGACCGGCTTCTCCTGGATCTAGGCTGGTGCTTGGAATGGGGCCAGGCCTGGGTGGAGGGTCAGGTGGTCGGGGTATAGTGAGAGGAGTAACTTTCTAACCGTGCAGCCGCGTTTTCCAGACGTGGTAACTCCTGTTGCTGGAGGTATTTCGGCAAACAGAGACGGCTGCCCGTGGGGGCGTTACAGTGCGGATTCCCGCGCAGAACACGTCCAGCCAGACGAGGGACGGTGGACTGCTGGGAATCCGTGCAGTCCTCTCTGGGTCCCTGACGGCCACGGGCAGTCGGTGGTGCGCTCCCAGCCCAGAGCTCCAGACGCCTCTAGCGGCCTGTCCCAGGGTTTCGCAGGGCAGCTCTCCGGGGACCAGGGTTGCGACTCTCCTTTCTTACTGTCTGTAAGAGTCCTCATCTCCCCGGCTTCAGGGAAGGCCTACGAGATCACCTACGTGCGGCTCAAGTTCCACACCAGCCGGCCTGAGAGCTTCGCCATCTACAAGCGCAGCCGGGCGGGGGGCCCCTGGGAGCCCTACCAGTACTACAGCGCCTCCTGCCTGAGGACCTACGGCCGGCCCGAGGGCCACCACCTGCGGCCCGGCGAGGACGAGCGCCTGGCCTTCTGCACCTCCGAGTTCAGCGACATCTCCCCGCTGAGCGGGGGCAACGTGGCCTTCTCCACCCTGGAGGGCCGGCCCAGCGCCTACAACTTCGAGGAGAGCCCCGGGCTGCAGGTCAGAGAGCAGCGGGGCTCAGGGGGTGGGGGGCAGCAGGCGGGATGCCCCTCCAAGGGGACAGCAGAGCCCTGTTTTCACACTGGTCACCTGGAAGCCTTAGGTCTGTGAGTGCCTGGGATGGGCGTGGCTGGGGGCTGCTCGGGCAGGGGAGGTGTCCCTTCCCTGGCCTTCGTCCCAGGATCCCCACAACACCCCCAGTGCCCTGCCCCGGGCTTCGTGCACTGGGGCAGTGCTCTCCCCCTGGCCACACCCCACCGGCCTTGGCTTCCTGCACAGGGTGGGAAAGCAGGCCGGGGCCCCGGCCCCCCCCCCCCCCCCCCCCCCCCCGCCCAGAGCAGCTCTGACGCCCTAGCAGGGCCTGCCACGTGTCTCCGGGATGCTCTCGAGGATCAAATGGCAAAATGTGACAACAGTGTGAGCTTTGGGGACCTAGAGTCCGAGAGGCCTTGCTGTCAGGTGGCCCAGGCCACTGGGAGCTCCTCATGTGGATGGTCTCTGGATGGCTGTCCGGCATGGTAGCCAGTGGCCTCAGGGGGCTGCAGAGTACTTGAGGTGTGACCGGTGTCACGGAGGAATCAGACTTGACTTTTCTTCTCTCCCTGGGTGCTGGCGTGGACCCCGAGGCTGCGTGCACTGGGCAGGCATCTGAATGTTGAATTTTACTTACCTTTAATGAATTTTAATGCTAATAGTCACACGGGACTGAGCCATAGGAGAGCGCAGCTATGGACATGGGTAGAGCTTGGCAGATAGAAGGCGCTCATTCCCGCATTGAAGGTCAGTGGTCACGGTGGTCCCCTGGTCTTGTCCCTGGTGGAGAACAGCAGGTGGCTCTGTCCTTCCTATGGGTCCCTCCAACCCAACCCACGTGGGTATACTCAGGCTTGTGGGCCGGGACAGGCACCCATGTGTCCACTTTCCTGCATGACCACTACAGCTGCATCAGTCTGCTTGACGTTGCTGGACGTTGGATGGCCCTCGAGTCATTGTCCTGGGCTCGGACAGGCCGCAGGCGAGTTGAACTGCCATCTCCTTTTCTAGAGACTTCCACGGCTTTCCCTGGCCTGTCTGGGTTAACAAGTGGGGGTCCTGATTGTTTCCAGAGGGGACACTGAGGCCCAGCAAACAGTTGTGTCCCGCTTGGCCATGCCAGCACCAGAAGACCTGAGGGTGCTGGCTTGGGGTCCCCAAGGCCACCTTCAGGTTCCGTGGTTCAGTGCACGACCTACACAGCTGGAAATTCCCCTCTCCTCACAGAGACAATTCACTACAGTGACATAGGACAGATCAAGGTCAGCAGAGAGTCAGGGGAGCCAGGCTGGAGTTCCCAGCTGTCCTTTCCTGGCGGGGTCTTGTGGACAGGGCTTCCCCCTCCAGCAACCATGTGTGACAGTATGCAGAGAATTGCCAACAGGGAAGCCCACCGAGCCCTGGAGTGCTGGGCTCTCCTTGGAGGGTAGCCAAGGAGGCGCTGCCTCTGCTGACCTGTTGCCTCGTGTCCTGGACATTGTCCCTGGTGGAGAAGTGATCTCTCCAGACGGGTCTCCCCTGCTTCTGTATGGCAGAGGGCAAGGTCAGAGGGACATGGAAGGCAGCCACACCCTGCCCTCTGGACACATGGGCATGTTTTACCCAGAGGGCAGACACACAATGGGGGTCCCTCTGTCCTCTTCTGTCCCTGATGAGCTGCGACCTTGGGTCTTTGCCTGTCTGGGTCCCCTGGTATGCCCAGGGCAGCAGAGTAGATGTAGGAACGTGGACTAGGGTAGTGATTAAAGCTCGGGCCCTGGGGTCACTTAGACCCCAGGCCCAGCTCTGCCCTGCACTGGGGGCACCACTTGGAATCGAGCGCTCACCCTGGCTGAGCCTTCATCTCCTCTGGGAGAGCAGGAATACAATCTTGTAGCCTCTGAGGCCCGGAGCCTCCACCGCACATTGGAGCCAGCTGCCCCTGTACCTCCGCGGGGCACAGGGTTGGCTCGGGCACTCCAGCTGCCACTCTTGGGCAGAGAGCAGCAGCGGAGCTTTCCGCATGGACAGCTGGGCTCCCCACCCTGACCAGACCCCTGAATCCACATGGCCTTTGAGCAGTTCTGCGCTGGGTGACTCGGAGTGACAGAGACCCACAAACTCAGCTTTGTGCCAGGGCTCCTGTGGCATTTGCCGATGCACAACCCTCTCTGGGCCGAAGCATCCTGGGCAGAGGCCGGGTTTGTGTGCTCAGTGGGAGCAGGGGAGGTGCCGCCTGAGTCACGCGGGGAGACAGGCTGTGCCAGAAGCTCATTTTCTGTCCTGATGGGCCTGATTGCTAGAGCAGGGGCTCCTGGGCTGAATTAAATGCTGATTAACATTCCACCAGAGCCGCCTGATTAGAACAGCAGGCACCGAAATGTCAGCCCTCACGTGGGCCGCGCTTCCTCGCCAGCTCCTCCCCCAAGGTGCTCATTCACTGATCAGCGAGTGATCAGCGAGTCCACGCAACGTGCCTGGCAGAACCCAGGGGCCCCACGTCCCCATGTCCCCACTCTGGAAGGGCTCACATTCTCATGGGAGAGATGTCCCCTGGGGCAGGGGCTGACCCTCAGCAAGTGAGAAGATGAGAATCCCAGAGCCTAAGTCCTGCCAGGCCTGGGGAGCATGGGAGAAGGACTCTGGGAACTCACGCCAGCTGACCTCTAGCATCGTGCTCAGGAGTGGCTGGGAGAGGGCAAGGGACCTGCGTGCCAGGGTCTTATGTGGCCAGCCTCAGCCCCTGCCCACCCCCAGCACCTCCACTCCATCCTGGGCAGGTGCCAGGTTCCCCAGTGCTGGCCAGATCTGCCGGATGCCCTCACAGGGAGGCACTGTCCTGCCATTTCACAGACAGGGAAATGGAGACACTGAGACATCAAGCTACGTCCCCCAAGTTGCCCAGCCAGTGGGTGGCCTGTTGCCAGGCCACTGTCTCGGGATCCCCCTGAGTCTGACTTGTCCCAGGAGCCCACCCAGGACAGGCGGCTGGACGGGCCAGCAGAGCAGGCTGAGAGCGATGCTCAGGAACCTGCTGATGAGTCTCTGTCCCCTCCCCCAGGAGTGGGTCACCAGCACTGAGCTGCTCGTCTCTCTTGATCGGCTCAACACGTTTGGGGACGATATCTTCAAGGACCCCAAGGTGCTCCAGTCCTACTACTACGCCGTGTCGGACTTCTCCGTGGGCGGCAGGTGGGTGCCAGGTCCCAGCACCCAGACCCCGCACAGGAAGAGGATGCCGGCCGATGGGAACTGCTGGTGGCGGATGTGTAGCAGGGAGATGCCAGCTCAGCTGTACGGTGGTGGGGGGGTAGGACCCTGGCCCCTTGCCAGGCACTGCAGGTCATCACAGAGTCTCCTCCTGTCCCCACCAGGCTGAGCGCCCCCCCATGGCCAGGGGCAGCAGGTAACTGCTGTTCCCTCCCCTTCTCATGTGGGAAATGTTTCCTGCCAGCCCCAGAGAGTGACTCTGCCACCCGGCCTCACTCCCGGCCCTGGACCAGGTTCTCTTAGCGTCCACACTCACCCTGGACAGGGGCTGTCCCAAGTCAGAGCCTGTCTGTCATCTGGGCCTCCCAGAGCGCCTCCCACGCAGCCCCGTGATGGGGAGAGGGCACAAGCCTGTCTTCCCTGGGACCCTGCCTAAGCGTGTTTCTGACCCAGCGTGGTGTGGCAGACCCGAACCAGACGGCTCGTAAGGCTGTCAGGGCACCCTGGGAGCAGGGACAGGAGGCAGAGACAGGAGGCGCGAGGTCAGAGCCAGGGAAGCTGGGGCTCGGGGAGGCCCGTGGCTGGAAGCGGGTCAGGGCCAGGCCCAGCGTATTCTCATCCCTCTGTCGATGGGGAGCCGCTGAGGGTTTGGCCAGGGGAGTAACAGGGTCAGCTTGTCGAGATACCCGAGAGCTGGTGGGGAGTGGGGGAGAGAGGAGGCCGAACCGTGGGGTCATGGGGTTGGGCGGCCCGGGCAGGCGAGCGGGGAGGTGGGCAAGGGCCAGAGGAGGGGAGAGCAGCTCAGGTGTCAGTGGTGGCTTGGGGAGCAAGCAGGGTTGTTGTATGACTCAGGGACACGTGGGTGGCCTTAGGGAGGAGAGGCCAGAGGGTCACAGGCCCAGAGTCTGTACCCCGGGGTGTCCATGTGCTCTGGGGAGAGCTGGGCGTCCTGGAGAGGACCCTCTGCCCCGCTTCCCATCCCCATGCGCAGTCAGGTCAAGGACACGGGCGGGGAGCCTGGACCTCCAGCTCCTGCTGTTTGGGGGGGCTTCAGGCCAGAGGACATCTGGGCCCCAGCTGCTGGAGCTGGACCACCCTGGGACCCACAGCTGGCCGGGGAAGGCTGCTCTCGGCCGGGGGCAGGTGGCTGGGACAGCCTGTGTCCCCAGGCCGACAGGATTTCACTCTCCTCCATGAGTCAGAGGACTTCTTGGGGGAGGGAGGGGTTTTAGGCGCCCTCTCAGAGGTGGGCAGTCCCTATCACTACCCCCATGACCACTGTCCCCAGAGACTGCCTGGGGCCCCCCTCACCTTTCCAGAAATACCAGGGTATCTCCTGCCCTGACCCAGGCCCTGGAGAGCAAGCAGTGCTGCGCACTCTGCCACGCTCTGCGTCCCCAAGCTGAAGGATGCCCGGGCCCTGGCCGTGGTCACAATTGTCAGCGTCTGCTGAGGGCAGCTTGTGGAGCCCAGCCGCTCAGTGTCTCTCGCTGTTGAGGTCTGAGCCTCGGTTTCCCCCACTGTGAAATGGAGCCTGACCTACATCACGGTCTGGCTCCTTGGGACAGGGCTGGTGGCCACACAGGGTTGGGATCCATGGAGCACCCAGAGCACCTCCTTGTTCCTGCCCCACCCCACCTGTCTCCTGATGCTGTGAGTGTCGTGGGACATGGGCCCAGGGCTGCCCTTGGTGGCACAGTCTGGGGATCCGGGACCGTCTAGAGTTGTCCCTGTGCAGGTGACTCTTTCTTTGCCTTTTAGATGCAGTTAAAGGGCAGCTCCCTGGGTGACCTCCCTAGTCCCCATCCACTGCCCCTGCAGGGAGACTGAGATGGCCTTCTCCTGGCCCTCGCAGCCCCCAGGTGGGACTCCTGCACAGCCACTTATGAGCTGGCTGTAGTCTGCCTCTCGGTGCCTGATCCCCCATTAGAAGGGGCAGCGTGGTTTCCACGTGGGTTCACCTGTGCCCCAGAGCCCTCCATGCTGCCCCAGGCAGGCGCACAGTAGGTGTTCAGCAGAGGCCAGGGTGAAGCAGTGACTCGGGTCACCCCGCCTCCCGTGGGGGCTGCTGGCGGTAACCCCGCCCATGTTCCCCCAGGTGCAAGTGTCATGGCCACGCCAACTCCTGTGGCCCCGATGAGGCGGGCAGGCTGGCCTGCAGGTGCCAGCACAACACCACGGGCATAGACTGCGAGCGCTGCCTGCCCTTCTTCCAGGACCGGCCCTGGGCCCGCGGTACAGCCGAAGCCGCCAACGAGTGTCTGCGTGAGTGTGGGGGGCAGAGGCTGGGGTGCCCTCCAGAAACTCCCGAACCTCGCCCTGGGGCTGCTCCTGGGTGGGCCTGCGCCAGCTTGGGGTCAGGGAGATGCTGCAGATGGGAGGGGGCGTGGGGGGGGGCTTTGAGCTTCATCCTTCCCCCACAAACAGCCCTCCAGACCGAGTCCACCCAGAGAGGCGCCCGAGTGGGGAGGCCGGGGAGGCCCCCACCCGTTCCTTTGTTTTAACTGCCCCAACCCCAGCTGCTAATGAGATCCAGGCACCCCCTCCAGGGGTGCTGCCCTGCCCAGCCCGGCCTCTCCCACGGCCCAGCCCTTTGATGTCCCCGCCTGTGTGGTGTGGCTGTGACTGCCTAACCACAGAGCGCCACAGCAGGGAGGGTGGCCTTGTCTCCTGCAGGGACGTGGGCCCCCAGCGCAGTCCCACAGTCCCTCCTGGCTGGCGTGCCAGCAGCCCAGTGGCTACTCTCCCCCAAGCCCTGCCCCTCCCCCACTGTCATCTGCTTTGCCTCAGCTCTCTGGGTGCTCTGTCCTCTTGGGCCTGGGCCACTGGTGGTCACAGCTGGGGCAGGAGGGGACATATCTGTTCCATGGGATACCGAGCTGCCTGCAGGAGCTGCCCGGGGGCCACCAGGACCCTAATGGATTCCTCCTGCCCTCTGGGCTGCCTCCACCAGGGGGCGCTCACGTGCTGGCTCATGCCAAGCCTGTGGCTCTCTCTTCCCTGGGGACACAAGGCCAGACTGCTTCTGCCCCGTCCTTGCCCCTCCCAGTCTCCTCCCAGTCACCAGCCTGGAAGCCTGGTTGTCCTGGTGGACCCCTCCCCCAGCCCAGGCAGCCCTGGGGCCCGGATTGAGCGTCGTGGGCTTCTCTCCCGCCCACCCAGAGTGGTGCTTCTGTGCAGCCGATGCCCTGGTCTCAGTCACCTTTGGGCGGCACAGTGCTCCCTCCTGCCAGGGCCACTCACACACCTCCTCCCGGGCCTCCTGCCCACAGCCTGCAACTGCAGCGGCCGCTCCGAGGAATGCACCTTTGACCGGGAGCTTTTCCGCAGCACGGGCCACGGTGGGCGCTGTCACCACTGCCGTGACCAGACTGCTGGGCCGCACTGTGAGCGTTGTGAGGAGAACTTCTACCACTGGGACCAGAGGAAACCTTGCCAGCCCTGCGACTGCCACCCGGCAGGTGAGTGGCTGTGCAGCCCGGGCCACCCTCAGCGTTCAGTTCAGGCCTCCGCAGCCCTGTGCCCTCCTCCCCAGGTTCCCTGCGCCTCCAGTGCGATGATGTGGGCACCTGCGCCTGCAAGCCCACCGTGACAGGCTGGAAGTGTGATCGCTGCCTGCCCGGGTTCCACTCGCTGAGCGAGGGTGGCTGCAGGTGAGGACATCAGGGGGTGCGTGGGGGTGGCCAGGGTGGCATGTGTGTTGTATTGGGATGGAATGATGGGGAGTGGGAGGGACAGAACACCTGCTGTCCCCCCACCCCCCTTCCTCTCTCTAGCGGTTTCTCATTCCACAGCCAGTTCTGGTAAGGACTAGAGATGCCCAGTCCCCGGGAGGCAGATGATCATGTGACCAAGCTCCGCGTCCTGTGGCCCAGCAGCCTACCTCGGGGGTGGAGGGCAGGCTCCTGTGAGAGGCATTCATTTCTAGTGCTGATTGAATGGGGGTGATGGAGAGCAGGGGGGACAGGTGGTCCAGGCAAGGGAAGAGCACAGCAAAGGCTCGAGGCAGGTGCAGGCAGGTGCAAAGTGAGACTCGGTACTGAGCAGGGAGGCTCAGGAGGAGCTGAGGACCAACACGGTGGGGGGTGGTCAAGATCAGAAGCTGGGCAGGGCAGGAAGGCTGAGCAAGCTTGTGTTAGGGTTTGGCCACGTGGAGGGAGGAGGGGATGGGCAGATTCCAGAGCCCCTGGAGGGGAAACGGACAGGCAGGGGGCTACCGGGTTTGGAGCCTCGGAAGGGGACCCAGCCCATTTACCATCTGTTGATTGAGAAAACTCACCCTGAGCAAAATGATACATGAAGCTGCTGTGATCCAGAAGCACTTTTAAGTGAACTTGGCTTTGGTCAGTAACAGAGTCCTCTGTCCTGGACAGGCCATGGGACCATGGGGTGCAAGCCTGGGGAGTCTCAGGCTCCTGGCAAAATGCTTCTGGGCACAGAAATGGCCGTCAGGGCTGGGTCTGGCTCTGTGGCAGTGCTCACCTAGTGTGCAGGGGCCCTGGGCTCCATCCCAGCACCTTGAAGCAAAGCAACAGACCTTAGACAGGACCCCTGCCCCATCCCAGCCTCCGGGCCCTCATGGGTGCCCTCCTCCACCCTGGAGCCACCTCTGCCCGCCCAGCCTGCCTCTGGCAGGCTCCTGTTCTTGCTGGGACCACTCCCTGGGGAAGCCTCCCTCCTCCTGCCCCTGATGTCCCCGTCCCCAAGGCTGGGCAGTGTCCGCACTGTGGGGTCCCAAGGGCGGAGCCTTTGCTCATCAGGTGGGTGGGCGGGAGGTTGGTGGATGGAGCGGGCACCGGCAGAGGGGCAAGTGATGGATGGAGGCGAGTGGACGGTTGGTGGAGGCTCAGATGGAAGGTGGGGTAGACAGAGGCTGCGCTGTGCTGGCAGGTAGGGGGCACCTCCCTGGCAAGGTGGGAACAGGAGGCCAGGGGAAGCTGGCTCCTCTTGGGGATTTTTGGGAACAGCCAGTTCCCACTCTGGAATTGCTCATTGGACATTTGTCCGCTTGTCCCCCTCTTTGGCAGACCCTGTACCTGCAATGCTGCTGGCAGCCTGGGCACCTGTGACCCCCGCAGTGGGCGCTGCCCCTGCAAAGGGAACGTGGAGGGAGACCAGTGTGACAGGTGGGTGAGCCGGTTGACCACAAATGGGAGTGGGCGCAGCTGCTGAGCAGGCACCCGGGCTGTGAGTCGGGAGGAACACAGGACGGTCCTCACGGACTTGTGAGCAGCAGCCCGCACCCCTGGAGCACCACTGACCTGCCATCCAGGAAGTTACCCAGCGGCCTCGTGGCACTGTTTATGCTTTGATCTAATGCTATGGATGCCTCCTACGCTAAGAAAATACAACTTTTTTTTTTTCCCAAGCTCAGATGGAGCTAGGAGGGATGGGAGGTCGTCTAATCCATGTAGCTCACCACTCCTCTCTGCCAGCCCTGCCACAGACATCACTAATTGAGTGCTATCCCAGCCCTCCCATCCCCCATCCAAGTCAGACATCACTAATGGAGCACAGTCTTTGCCATGAGCCCTCTTGTCACTTAGGCCACTTCTCAGTGCCCTGCTCCCAGAAGGCCCTACCAACTGAGCTGAGATTTGAGCCTGGGGGGCGGGGGCCCTCGCAATCCCATTGTGATGCAAATGAGGGACCTGAGGTTCAGTAAGACAAAAGGATTTTCCCAAGGTCACGTGGTCCATGGACTTCATGTTCAAGGCCACTGATTCCCAGCTGTGGTGCTGGCAGGCAGACGTGGGCTGGTCTCCCTGGATGCACACAGTCTGCCCCGCCTGGCTTTGTGTCTGGTGTCCAAGCCCTTTGCTGCAAGGAAACTATGTGGCAGGCCCCTGGCCCTGGCCCTCACTCTGGCAGCCCCAGGCCGCCCCTTTATCTTGTCTCTGCAGGGTCTTTTTCCCCCTCGCCCTGCCCCTAGGCACCTTAAGCAAAAAGGCAGAGTAGAATTCGGGAGCCAAAAGCCTCCTGGGTCCTCCCTCAGCTCCTCCTTGCAACCCTGAGTGGGTCCTCTCCGCTGTGCCTCAGTTTACCCACTTGTATAATGGGAGGACTTGGTGGGGTAGGCTCACTTGAGCTTGCTGGGCATCCGAGTTGAATCAGAAGACCACCTGGGCCTGCTCAGACAGACAGCCTCCAGGACCACAAACCAGGAATCCGAGTGTGTAAAGCAGTCTCCCCCAGGGCTGTCGGGACACAGGGTTGTTTCTGGGGGTGAGGCAGGGAGATGGCAAGAGGATCCTGGAGATGGAAGTGCTTAAGAACGAGAGCAGGGGTGGGGGTGGGGGGTGCAGACGACTCCATGGCAGGGCCCTGGCCTGGCTTGTTGGAGGCCCTGGGTCCCCCCTCCTCTACCCCCAGCACACACAAAGGCCCAAATCCCAAACCAGGGTGGGCCATGAGGAGGACACAGGAGCCAACCTGAAAGGGCTCCCAAAGCTGCCGTGGTTTGAACAGTGAAATAGATCAGCAAAGGATCCCATTCTAACCCAGAGAGGAAAACAAGTGCCCACACCCACAGAGACACACAGACGGAGGGATAAATAAATAGAGGGGACAAAGGGACAGACCCTCCTTGCAGAATTCCAAACAATCAACGAGCAAGGAGTGCGGGAAGTAGAAAATCAGAGTTGGAACTTCACAGTAGTGATTGCTGTGGGCAAAAGCCACCGATGGATGCTGACATTAGTGGGTGGCACTTTCAGGAGAAACAGAAAGCTTGTGTAGCCTCCAAATATTCATTGATTACTGTGATGGTCACATGTCCACCTGTTCTCTGGTCCCCACCCACAGGGCTCAGGTCCCCTCCCTGGGCTGGGGGCTGGGCTTAGTGACTGCTGAGGTCTGGCATTGGGCAGTTGCTCACAGGAGGAACCTGGGGAGGGAAGGGTCACCTCACTGCCCAGGGGTCACATCCTAATGTGATGAAAATTACACTTCCCCTCTGTGCACCTCCTCCCCCACCCATACCCCAGTCTCATCACGAGAAAACATGGAGGGACACACCTGAATGTGCGGGTCCTAAAGTCTACAGAGCTGTGCTTTTGAAGTGTCAGGTCTAGAGGGACGGGGAGGACCCAGAGGCACTTACAGATTGGAGGAGAAAGAAGACCCAGCTCAACCCAGCACGGTGTCCTAGGTGGGGACCCTGGAACAGGAAAAAGGACAGTGGTGGCCAAACCCCTGTGCAGCCCAGAGCATCCTTGACGTTAGGAACTTTAATGTCCGAGTTGGCCAGCTGTGCGCAGCAGGGGGGCAGGGGGGCACTGCCTTGCTCCCCTCTGTCAGTCTGGGGAAAACAGTTTTAGGAGTTTCCCGGGGGGTTCTGGATGGGCATCAGCTAACCAGATCCCCCACCCCGTGCCTTTCTGCCTGTTCACGTGGCCCTGGTGGGCATGCCTGGCATCCCTTCCAGGTGTCGCCCAGGGACATTCAACCTGCAGCCCCACAACCCACTGGGCTGCAGCAGCTGCTTCTGCTATGGCCACTCCAAGGTGTGTGGGGCCGCTGCCGGGTTCCAGGAGCACCACCTCCTCTCCGACTTCCGCCAGGGTAAGCAGTGCCCCACTGCCACCTCCCAGGGTCTGCTGCGTTGGCAGCTGGGGTGGGCGGCCCCTCACCTGCCAGCCGAGTGGGCCGAGTGAGCAGGCAGCTCCTGCACCTCCCTGCAGCCCCTCTGCCCCGCCCCTGCCTCTTCCCAGCCTCCAGCAGTTTGTGTGGTGGGGGTGGGGTGGCTCTGGGGGGCTGGGGTGTGGTACCCTGTTAATCCTGTGGGGAATTTCCACAGAACCTAGAAGGTCATCATCCCTTGTCATACCTGGGGCTGGGGATTCAGGCTCCGTCTCCTGTTCTCTATTTATTGAGCACCCGTGGTATGCCTGAGGCAGGGTCCCAGGCAGGTAGGGTCTCTCATTCTTGTTTTATAGGTGAGGCCCAGAAAAGGCAGGTCACTTTCCTGAGGCTGGTTCCCGGACATTAACATCCCTAAAACCAAGGATGCTGTGGGCTGCATCGGGGTTTGGCCACCACTGTCCTTTTTTTCTGCTCCAGAGTCCCTATCCGGGACATTTGTGAGCTCTGGAGTCTTGCTCTCACCATGCAGCCTTGTGTGGGTCTGCAACTTTAGAGGACACAGCCTCATCTTTGGGGCAGGATATTGGCAGAGCACTAAGTTAGAGCTTGAAGTCAGAGCCAGCCACCCCGGAGCACCCCACCTTCTGCTTCCACCCCCGCAGGGAGGAGGGCATGCCCCAGATGCAGGGACAGTGCGCCCTCTGCTGGACGCCATGCAGAAGGCAGGGTGGGAGGCAAACATGGCCCTAGGAGAGCAGGGGGTCTGGTGGTACCACCTCATTATCTCAGCTGCCTCAGCCAGTGGTTCTCAAACTTTCTGGTCCCTTCCTCTTGGAGACCACTGAGGACCCCAGAGCACTTGTGTATATGTTGATATTAGCGGGAAAACTGATTTTTAAAAATGTTTATTTTAAAAATTAAAAAACAGCCACTGTGAACCTATTATGTTAAAACGAAGAACATAGTTCTGTAAAAATAACTATTTTAAACCCCAGAATATTTGTTGAGAAGAGAGCTGCTGGCTCTGTGTTCTTGCCTGTCCCTTAAGGTCTGGCTGGGCAGAAGCCGGCTGCTCCTCCCATGGGCCTCTGCCGGCCAGCGGCAGGGACAGCACACATCGTGCAGGTTCTAGAAAACTCAAATCGCCCCTTAGTGTCGGCAGGAAGATAGTTTGTTCTCACAGACCCCTGAAAGGGTCTTGGGGGTCTCCCTGAGGGGTGTGGCCCAATTTTGAGAGCTGCCACTGGCCCAGAGAACTCCACTGCCCCCATTTTGCAGATGTGAAGCCAGCTTCAGAGAGGTTAAGTAACTTTCTCAGGGTCACACAGTTAGCAAGGAACCACTTAATTCAGCCCAAGGAGCCCCAGGCCTTTCCCCTTCATCCCTCACCTCCCCACCCCTTGGGTGCTCAGGTGTTCGGCTCCTACCCTGTTGCCAGCTGCCCCTGGAGAGTGCCCCTGGAGGTCATGTGCTCTGTACTGGCTGTGCTTGCTGGTAACTCCTGTCCCTAGAGGGAAGGTGGACAGAACTGGGGCCTGAAGGCCTGGGCCCATCCTGGTGTGGACCCTTCCTTACCAGGTGACCCTTCTGGGTGCAGTGGGGCTAATGACACATGTATCTGGAGGGTCAGGGTGGGTGAGGCCATGGTGAGAAAGTTCTCTGAAGACAAGGTCAAGTCCATTATTGTTGGGGGTGGCCCTGATGTCCCCAGGCCCCCATGTTGGGATCTTTGGGCTGTCTCTTCATGTGGAACTCAAAACCCCTCTGAAGCAGAGCAGGGTCCCTGAGCTCCCGTCTCCTCCTGGGCTCCCTCCACACGCAGTCCCCTCAGGGGAAGGACTTGCCTCCTGGAGACCCCCTCCAGGGCCTTACGCTGCCGGCTGTGCCTGTGCTTGCTGTCTAGGACCTGGAGGCTGGTGGGTCAGGAGCAAGAGAGGCTCGGAGCGTCCCCCACGATGGAACCCGCGTGGGATCATCCTCTTGGGCTCAGAAGACGAGGAGGCGCTCACAGCACCAGGTACCTGCGGCCGGGGTCGGCCCAGCTAGCTCCCCTCTGCTGCTAGGTGTTGTTAGTGCAGTTCTTATTACACACCGCCACAGACTGGGTGAGTTATAAAGAAAAAAGTCAAGGTGGGGGGCTATGTCTGGTGGTGGCCTTTTTGCTGGCAGAGCCCTGGGCAGCACAGGGCATCACGTGGTGAGACAGGGGTTGCACGTGTGTGTGTCTCCTGGTCTGTCTCCTTCTTAGAAAGCCACCGGGATTCTCTCTTGGGCCGCACTGCCTGACCTCCTCTGAATGGGGCAGGTTCCCACCCTCCCAGTGGGGATTGAGTTCAGCATGGTGCGGGCTGTTCAACATGGCAGGAGGCAACAAATGGCCCCCCTCAACTGGGAGGCTGAGAACATGCCCAGTCCTGTCAGTGCCCTGGAAGGCAGAGGTCTGCTGATGTGGGCCCAGGGCCAGGTTCAGGGTGCCACCCAGGCTGCTTCCCTTCTGGAGCCTCAGGGGAAGGGCTCAGGGGACCTGGCCTTCCTCCAGCTTCAGAGCAGCTGCGTCTGGCACCCATCACGACCTCTCCCGTCCCTAGGACCTTGGGATGACCTTGAGCCCAGCTGGAGGGTCCACTTCCTGTCCCTGCTCTGTGGCCAGCTGGTCCGCTACCTGGATCCTCCTGCAGCCTTATCCCTGCCACGTCAGATGGCCCGTGCACAGGTCCAGGGACTAGGTGTGAGACCTTTTGGTCCATGGTGTATGTGGAATCCCTGGAATGAGACAGTCTGTTTTTCACAGTTTGGAAGTGATTGTGTATTTTTCTTTCTGGAACAGAGGAAACCCTGCAAGACATGAGGCTCAGTATTTTTATTTCCTTTTTTTGTTTTTTTTTTCTGTACCTAGGATTGAACCCAGGGATTTAACCACTGAGCCACATCCCCAGCCCTTTTTCATATTTTATTTGGAGACAGGGTCTCACGGAGTTACTTAGGGCACTAAGTTGCTGAAGCTGGCTTGGAACTCACGATCCTCCTGCCTCAGCCTCCCGAGCCTCTGGGATTACAGGCTGTGCCACCGCGGCAGGCCTTGGGCATTTTTATTTCCTTTCCCACTGGGCGAATGTCTCACGGCTTCTCTCTGCCTTTGGCTTGCGCTCGAGTGAGGAGGACCTGAAAGGAGGGCCAGCTGGTCCCTCTGAGCCACATCCCAGGCCCCCCCGCCCTTGGTTCTGGGCATAGGTGGTCACCTGACGCAGACGATGCAGGAGGAAGGGGTGGGCCTGGCTCCTGGTGAGTCTCACTAACTCCCACGAGGTGGGTCCACAGGCATTCTGAGTTCCCGGGGCTCAAACGTGATATGTGGGCCGGTAGCAGGGGGCTCCCTCATTCACCGTTCCTGTGCTCTGTTGTCCCCTTGGACTTCACTTACAAAGCTCTAGGTCAGAGACAAAACTATCAAGAGTGCCAGCAGAGTGCCAGCAGAGCTCTAAGCCAGCCCTAGGTGACGGCACCTGGGTGTGACACCTGGCGTCTGCGGTGCAGGGAGCGTTTCTTGTCATGGATAGACTTGTGGCCTCAAGCTGAGCATCGGAAGACTGTCCGAGCCTCTTCTCTTGTCTGCAGAGCAGTTCCTGGGTGACCAGCGCTTCAGCTATGGACAGCCCCTCACGCTGACCTTCCGTGTCCCCCGTGGTGGCTCTGTGCCCCTGGTGCAGCTGAGACTGGAAGGAGCGGGCTTGGCCCTGGCTCTGAGGCACTCCAGTCTGTCGGGTCCCCAGGACGCTGGGCAGCCGGGGCAGGCACAGCTCAGGTTCCTGTAAGTGTCCCCATCCGTCCTCAGAGATGTGGGTGCACAGGAGGGGCACCCTGGAGAGTCCCCTGTGGTCTGGGCGGCTGCTCTGATTCCCAGGCTCCTGGCACCCCTCGGTCCCCATCAGGCCTCACATGGCCCTCTCCCCGGCAGCTTGCAGGAGACCTCTGAGGACACCGAGCCCCCGCTGCCTGCCTTCCACTTCCAGCGTCTCCTCGCCAACCTGACCGCTCTGAGTATCCAGGCTAGTGGACGAGGCCCAGGCCCTTCTGGTCAGTAATGATGGCAGCAGCATGCCCCCAAGAACCCTGCTCACGGCACCAGGCTGGGTCCTGCCCACGTGGCCTTGCCATGTTGAGTCCTGAGAGCAGTTACTGTCCCCACTTTTCTGAGCACTTTGAGACTCTGAGGAGTCACGGCACTTGCCCATGACCCTGCCACCCACAATGACAGCAGGAATGGTGGCTGAGGCCAAGGCAGAGGTCGTACAGGTGAGGGGCCTCCGGGTGGACAGCTCTAGGGGCGGGGGCTGGGCAGATATGGGGGCTGCATCTTCCCCGAGAGCTCGGCCCCTGCTGGTCCCTGGTGGTATTGCACCCAAGCCACCCCCAAGTCTGGTAGAATTTCGAAGTTCCCAGGATGGACCAGTATTTGTCACCATCTCTTGCCTTGGTCACTAGGGACAAACATGGTCATACCCTACCTGCATACAATTTTAAAAATCATATTACATCCTACCTACCTTGATATACAGAATAAATAAAAGGAAACGAGAATATTCAGACAGGGCTCAGGCCTGACCAGGCTTGAAGACTCAGCGGTCAGAGGCTCCCTGCTGTGTGGAGTGAGTGTGGGGAGCCCTCTGCCCACCTGAGCAGTGCAGACCGAGTCCCTCATGGCTGTGCTAGAGTGGAAACCAGGTCGCTGGTCACAGGCACCACAGGATGAAGAGGGAGGCTATAGGCTCAGTCACCTCCCTCATTGTGGTTCTTTTAAAAGGTGCCTGGAGCCTGTGGCTGGGTTCCATCACTCCGTGGGGGGAACACGCTTGGCAGAATAGCCACTCATCTGTGGGTGAAGCCGTAAAACCAAGTTTCGGACCCTCAGGGGAAGGCAGGTGACCCCGATTCCTGATATCCTGTGGGTTCGTCCTCTGAAACTCATCGCTGAGTGGGCGTGTTGGCCAGCTCATGAGTGGGGGGGGCCACAGAGGGGCTGCAGATGGGATGGGGTGGTGGTCACGGGGACTCGAGCCCCGTGAGCTGAGTGCCTTCACTGGTACATGACTTGGGACAGTCCTGAACCAGGCAAGGCACAGAGTGCCCCCACCTTGTGGCATCTGCGTCACTGGACAGTTCCATATACACTGGACGTGGTCATGCTACCTGGTGTCTGAGTGCAGGATGGAGCAGGGGTCTAGGCTCAGGCGCTTACAGAGGGGTGTTGCTGCCTTTCTAGCGTCAGAGGAACATTTCCAAACCACGGGGGCAGGACAGAGTGTCCTCTAGCACTCTGGCCTCCTGTTGTGACAACCAAGTGGACCTCAGATTTGCTTCCTGGGGTCATTTGCTCCTCCTGAGAGCCTGCAGCTCTGATGCCAGCTTTCCCCAGGCCCCTGTGGGTCCGAGGCTTGGAGGTGCAGCCCACAATCCCCCAGGCCCCAACACCTCCTCTCTCTGTTGGGTCAAGGCTCCTCTTGATCCTGGGACTCTCACTTCCACTCTCCCCAACAGCTCCCAAGCCTCCCAGTCAGTCCCTAGGCTCCAGTTGCCAGTGCGCCTCTTACTTATGCCACAGCACCCCACAGTAGGTATTGGGGGGCACTGGAGACACAGCTGCAAGAACCAACACCTCTCCTACCCCCAGGCCCCAACCTCTTCCCACTGATCATATTTGGGGGCCTATTGCTCTGAACCTTGGGGCGCGTTCTTACCTTGGTCTTTTTTAACTTACAAGTTCGGTCACACGGGACACTCTTCTGTGACTCACTCTTTCCAGCTGCTGGTGTGTCCTAGAGACAGCTCCTCTTTGGCACTTGAGGGAAAGGCTGGTCCTCTAGATCCTCCCCTCTGCAGGATGCCCTGGCATAGACCCCCCACCCGGTGACAGACACTCCAGGGTCTCAGCTCCCACCAGGACACACAGCACCCCAGGGAGCAGGGAACACCTCACATAAAGCTCTCTGCTTTTGTGTAGGCACTGGTCACAGGAGGTCCCAGAAATAGAAGTGTTAGGTCCAGGAGTGTGCATTTTAAATTTCAACACGCCAAAATTTCCCTCCCAAAGACTGTCTTCATCTCTACTGATAGGAGCACCCCCCCCACTGCCAGCTCTACTTCTCCAGCGCTCACAGGTGTGGTTTTAAAATATATATTCAGTACCAGGGATGGAACCCAGCCCTTTTTTATATTTTATTTTGAGACAGAGTCGTGCTAAGTTGCTTAGAGTCTTGCTAAGTTGCTGAGGCTGGCTTCAAACTTGTGATCCTCGTACCTCAGCCTCCTGAGTTGCTGGGATAACAGGCGTGCACCACCACACCCAGCTTGTTTTAATATTTTGCTTGGAGTTTATAGTTGCTTCCAGTGAGGAGCTTGGTCTGATGGGACCCTCTATCCCTCAGTTGCTACAAGTAGAGCCTCCTAAATTACATGCATACAGCTACACATTTTTTTTTCAAATGGCAGTTTCTTTATTTTCAAAAATGAGTGCATTATTGTTCACTTAAATGCAAAATATTCACCAAAAAAATTCACTGGCATTTCCATGTCATTAGGTCCTTTCAATCAAAATCCTTCTGTTAAAAACAATCCTCCCATTAAATGACAGAACTGTTGCATTCATTCATCTCCATACTCTTGCAGGACTTAAAACTTCGGGAAACAGACCTTAAGCTTTGCCCAAAGGTAGCATCCAGCTCTGAGCAGGGCCTCGCAAGCTCTCTGTGCCTATCCCCCTCCATGGTTGGTCTCTAAAATGTTTCCCCATCAAGGGGTTGGGCTGGCTCATTGTTGTTTAAATCTGCATATCTTTAATAACCCAGGAGAACGGAGTCTTTCCTCCCTCCCCGCCACCTGCCCGCCCTGCCCGTGCTGAGCACCTGCTCTGCCTTTGGCCTCTTGGCTGCCTCTCCTTCTGTAATTGCCTGGTTTCCCCACCCTTAATTTGACTGTTCTACAAATCATAACTGATTCTTAGGCTGCCCTCTGTCCGCAGCTGCCCATCTGTGCGGGGGAGGTTGAGGGGAGCCTGCATGCAGCTCCGTCCTCCTCTCTCTCTGCAGGCCAGGTGCTCCTGAGTGAGGTCCGGCTCACATCGGCCCGGCCCCAGAGGGGACTCTCCCCTTCAGCCTCCTGGGTGGAGACCTGCTCGTGTCCCCGAGGCTACACAGGCCAGTTCTGTGAATCCTGTGCTCCAGGATACAAAAGGGACACGCCACAGGGGGGTCCCTATGCCAGCTGCGTCCCCTGCACCTGTAACCAGCATGGCACCTGTGACCCCAACACAGGTGAGTCTTTGGCATCCTAATCTAAGTCCATCTGGGCTACATCTGGCCCTGTGAGATGAGTACTGACCCCCACGGGCACAGCCTGGCACGGGTACCAAGTGGCTGCCCAAGCCGTGGGCCCAGAGCCCGTTCCTGCTGTCGCCAGGGCGTCCTGTACTTTAGTAAGAGCCGTGACTGGATCCACCTGTGTGTTAGGCTCCGTGCCCAGGGCGATGTGCACGTCTGGTGAGGGCATCTGTCCACAGGCCCGCCCCTGCTAGGCAGGCTCCCTCCTCCCAGGAAGGAGCAGGGAGGACCTTGGGAGCCTGCTGGGCGGTGGGTGCTGTGAGGGAGGACAGGCATCCGCATGGCAGGTGATAGCAGGAGAGTACCCATGCAAGCCACACAGGTGACAGCCGCTCACAGGCACTGTCCCAGAGCCTCGTATCTGACACCCTCACCCCTTCGGGGCTTGTGGCCATGGGAGAGTCACTTCCGTCCCTGTCAATTGGGGACAGCAGTAGTGGCACACGGCCTACATTTTGGCGGGAGGGAGATGCCTAGGCTCTAAAGACACCAAAGCTGCACCAAAGCTGGGCCTGAGCCTTGGGGTCCTCACCTGGGAAGGGCAGGAAACAGAAGGCCGTCCCTTCTAGTATGTTGGGGGATGATGATGCAGGGTCACCAGCCTCCTTCTCATCCTGGCACCACCGTGTACACCACACCATTGGCTCCTCCCTGCAGTGTGGTCCCTGGACTGTCCTGTCTCACAGCCAGGGGGGGACTCCGGGTGCAGAGCAGCCACATGGCCAGTAGATGGCAGAGCTGCACCTCCCACGGGCCGTCCCCACCTGCAGAGGAGCCAAAAGGTGGGGGCAGGGCAGAGGCCTCTCCAACCCCACCCCCTACTGGGCAGCGGGTCATCCCTGGAGCAGGCAGGTCTCTGCCCATGTGACACATGGGGCACCCTTCATTCCCGTGCCCGTGGCAGACACCACCAATGGAGCCTGGGAGCGGCCGCATACCCCTGCCCTGCCTGAGGCAGCAGAGTCTCTTGTGGGAGGGGACCATTTTGCCTCCCCCTCGAGGCTTCATGTCACTGCCCAGGCCGGGAGGAGCCTGTGGGTGCTGGGCCCAGGCAGGGGCAGTGCCACTAAGTGCTACCCACTGGCCCACTCCCGTCCCTCCCCCTTCCTCAGGTCCAACTAAGCTTGTCTGGATGCCGTGAGGGGAGGGGCGTCCTGCCAGTGCTGGCCTTGGTTGACGCCTTCACGGCCAGGCTGCTACTGGGTGTTTGTGGCCGGGCCTCCCTTCAGAGCACCCCGGGCTCTGAGTGGACGCCAGGTGAGGCTGGGCTGCGGAGGGGACTGAGACTCCCCTGTCTTCAGGCGCCAGAAGGCAGGGACGGCTCTGCATGTGGAGGCCAGGCAGCCTCAGGGTGCCCCTGCAAAGTCGCACCAAGGCTGGTCCCTCGAGGCAGAGGAAGGAAGAGGAGAATCAGTGTGGCTCTGCGCCTCCTGGTTCAGAGGAAGGTCTGGAGCGCAGCTTAATAGTGACATCGGGTCACGTGTGAACCAGGGAGAGTGGGGCCACCTTGAACGCCCGGCTCCATGGTCCTTGCAGGAAACCTCGAGGCCAGCGCCTTTGCTATTCCCGTGTTACAGGCCAGGACACTGAGACGCGGGCCTGTTAGGTGACTGCCGGGTTCAGCGGGCAGGAGATGGAGGACCTGAGCCCAGGCCGGTCCTGCACCAGCCATCCCTGCCATGCTGCCTCTGCCTTAGAAGGTCCCACCCAGTTCTACTGGGATGCTCCATGGCCGCTCCCACTGCATGTGCCCAGTTTCAGGGGCATCCTGGCTCAGACGGTGGACTGTGGTTCTTGTCTTGACCCTCAGGGATCTGCCTGTGTGGCCACCACACCGAGGGCCCGTCCTGTGAGCGCTGCTTGCCCGGTTTCTATGGCAACGCCTTCGCAGGGCAAGCTGATGACTGCCAGCCCTGTCCCTGCCCTGGACAGTCGCCCTGCACCATTGTCCCAGAGAGTGGGGAGGTGGTGTGTACCCACTGTCCCCCACACCAGAGAGGTGAGTGGCCGTGACCCAGGGAGGGCACCACCCGTGGGGAGACCAAGCCTCAGGTGCACTGGGCTCTGGGGTCCTGGGTTTGGGATGTGGCAGTTTGGGGAAAGCCCAGCTTAGGGATGGCAGGAGTGACCTTTGGGGACACCGAGTCCCAGGCAAGGCCTCAGACTTCAGGGTTGCTGGCAGACCTAGCCCTGAATACATGTAAGTGACCTTTGAAAAGGCCTGAGAGGGAGCCCAGCACCTGTTTCCCTAACAGAGATTCAGAGCAAAGGAGGAAACCTCAGATTAAACCTCGGGTCCTCCAGCTTTTAAACACCACCTGGGCAATGTGTGCAGTGGGACCCTCCTCACCCCCACCCCAGGCCTCTGCCGGTCCTCGCTCCTGCTGCTGGGCTCTGGGCCCTCCTAGACACCGCATCTTTTTTCAGTAGTGTTTGAGACATTCACATGCCCAACAATGCACCCATTTAAAATGTACAATTAAGTGGCTTTTGGTATACTACAGCATGGATTTTTTTTATCATGGTAAAATATGTAGCGTCAAAGTTTCTGCCTTAAACATTATTTTAAGCGTGTAACTTGGGGGTGCTGCGGGCGCCCTCATCGCCACCGTCCGCCCCCAGAACCTCACCATCCCAGACAGAAGCTCTGTGCCTGTTAGGTCAGTGCTCAGCGCCTCCTGCTCCCGGTGGCCCCGCACAGCTCCTCCACTCGCTGACTCTGAGTTGGACTCCCCGGGGACCTCATTTAGGCGGAGTCACATTATGCTGGTCCCTCCGTGTGGCTGGTTTCATGTGGCCCAATATCCTCAAGGTCCCAGACATGGGATTTTACCTTTGGCACACGTGGCAGCGTCGGACCAGTCCTGTCCCACGCTCTGCTCCACTGGACCCTGCTGAGAGCAGCTCCCTGGTCCCCAGGAGCCGGCAGGGCTGAGTGGACAGGCTCAGAGCGGGGAAGCCAGGAGCTAAGGGGCCTGCACCCCACTAGCCAGCACCCAGCCCCCTGACTGGCTCTCACAGTGTGAGTGGACACAGAAGCTCAGACAGGTCGCAGCCGGGGGCGGGGACAACCAAGAGGGCTCTGCTGCCGTCCTGTGCCTGCAGGGCTTCCTTGGGCCTTGTGAGAGGCCAGCACACAGACAGCTCCCCTGGGCACCTGGGTTGGGATTGGCTGCGGTCAAGTCCTGGTCTCCGCCTGCCTCAGGACCACACCACCCACCACCCTGTCCCCTGGCAGTCCCCAGGGGGCCTGCAGAGCTGCCCTCACCTGGTCCCTAGGGCACGGCTGGGGACTGCGTTCGTCAGAGGGCTGCAAGCTCCCCTCTCCCAACATGGGTTCTATTTCAGAGTCCCCAAGGCCACGCTCGCCTCCACCTTGAACCCTGTTCAGGTCTTTCCTTCCTGGTCTCTTGGTCCTTTGTGCCCCTCTGCCCCTCTCTGAGGATGCTCTGAGTAACGGTGGCTTGATTTCAAGAGGACCATGAAGTCTGAGGGCACACGGAGCCCACACCTGTTTTTCACAGGGACACAGCTGTTCTTAGATGTGTCCACTCAGTGGGACTGCCCATGTCCGTTGACACAGGGTAGAGGTGTAAAGAGCGGGTGACACGCACCTCACGGGCCCCTCCTCTCACCACCCCGGGGACCATGGCCAGTCGGGGTCTGTGGATCCCCCAGACATGGCTGCACGGAGATCTGGGCAGAGACTGGTGTGTTACAAAGAATGGCCCCACCACCCAAAGCACGAGCTGTGTCCAGAGAGGGTCTCCCAGCCACCACCCTCCCGAAGTCCTCCCACCCCATCTCCTGTGAGGCTCATGGTGGCCCTGTGGGTGGGACGAGGTGAAAGCAGCCCCAGGTCCACCCGGGAGGCAGGGCAGGAGTGGAAATGCACATTCCTGAGGAAGTTCAGAGGCCACGGGGAGCAGAAGAGGGGGAGGGGAGGGAGGAGACAGTGACACATTGGTGACGACGAAGATGACAACGGAGGTGCTGATGAAGATAGTGGTGACAGTGGCATGCTGGCACTTACCACATGTCAGGAAATAATCTCACCGAGCCTCCACAATCCTGTGAAGTAGCCGCCATATGTGTCCCCTTTAGAGATGAGGAGCCTGAGTTCAGAGGGCACAGTGGCTTCCCTGAGACCACACAGCCAGGGGACAGCCCACGGGGGCCTGGCCCAGCTTAGCTTGCGGGGGGCTGTGCTCCACTCACCGGAGGCCTGGCTTTGTGCTGGGCACAGGTGGCCCGAGCTCCTCACCCCTGCTCCCTCTCACACAGGGCAGCTCTGTGGTAGCTGTGATGACGGCTTTTTTGGGGACCCACTGGGGCTCTCTGGGGCCCCCCAGCCCTGCCGCCCGTGCCAGTGCAGTGGGAACGTGGACCCCAACGCGGTGGGCAACTGCGACCCGCTGTCCGGCCGCTGCCTGCGCTGCCTGCACAACACGACGGGGGACTACTGTGAGCGCTGTCAGGGGGGCTTCTACGGGAGCGCCCTGGCCCCTCGGCCTGCCGCCAGGTGCACGCGTGAGTACCCACCACCAGGGCCCGCGGGGGCACGGGGCCTCGTCCTCCACCCGCTCAACCCAGGTGGGGTGGCTGAGAGTCCCCAGAGCCAGCTGGCCCCTTCGCCAGCTCTGCCACCTCAGACAGGTCCCCATCTCCTTGGAGAGGGAGGGACTGGCTCTTCTGCAAGGTCCCTTTCAGCCTTGGCGCCTTATAAACTGGGACCAGCGATTTCCCCCTCTTGGATAACTCAATGCTATGCTCTCAGCTCAGTTAGTCCAGGAGGCTGACCCGGGGTCACCAGGCCGGGGCTCCCCTTCCTCCTCCAGCCCCCACACCCGGGTAACCCTCAGAAGAGCCTAAGCTCTGGGAGACCACAGCCTGTGGTCCTGCAGGGAGGAGCTGGGCGTCTGCCCCAGACTGATCTGCTCCTGCGCCCTTTCCCACACCCTGCCACCATCTTGCTGCCCCTGGCTCTGTGGAGCCCCTTGGGGAACCCGCTGTGTTCTAGAATGAGATGCTGTCCTGCGGTAGCCGGGGGGCCAGGACACCTCATGGCCCAGGACGGGGTGCAGGGCTCTGCCTGTGACACTTTGATGGAGTCTGGGCTCAGGGCTCGGGGCAGGCTATGCTGGGGCTGCCTGCCGCTATCTCTGCCCCGGTTGTCTCCAGGGGTGTAGCAAAGGGGCCGAGACCCGAGCTCGGCCCTCCAGCCGTACCTCAGCAGGGGCTCAGCAGTCTGGGCTGCACCCAGGTCCTCTCAGGGCTTCTGCAGGCCCACCTGTGGTTGAGTGGACAGGTGTGCCCATCCCCAACACCCTGCCTTGCTTCCCCACAGCCTGCAACTGCAACCCTGGGGGAGTGGACAGTGGGCAGACGCCCTGCGACCCAGTGACTGGCCAGTGCTCCTGCCTGCCTCATGTGACCGGGAGGGACTGCAGCCATTGCAGCCCTGGCTTCTACAACCTCCAGCCAGGGAGGGGCTGTCAGAGGTAGGTGGGGTGAGGCTGTGGCACTCTGGGTGTCTTGCCAGAGGTGGGGGTGGCTGTTTTGGCTACAGCAGCACCTAAGACAGACATCTCTAAGGAACAGTGGGGTCCTGCAGGAAAATGTGAGGGAGCCACACGGGTTTCTTCTTGCAGGACTTCTCAGAGCCTTTAGTGAGCAAGTGCCCTGTGACTTGCCAACAGAAGGCTACAGTCTCTCCAGGACGGGGCATTTGTCCCCAAGGCCTTTATTTCCCCCTTCTGGTGGGCATCCTGTGAGATTTGTGCTCCCTTGGGCATAGCTGCTGCCACTAGAAGCTGGGCCAGGAGTGGCCTAAGACCTGGTTCCTTCCCCTATTGCAGCTGCAAGTGTCACCCACTGGGGTCCCGGGAGGACCAGTGCCATCCCAAGACTGGGCAGTGCCCCTGCCACCCCGGTGTCACAGGGCAGGCCTGCGACAGATGCCAGCAGGGTTTCTTTGGCTTCTCCGTCAAGGGCTGCCGGGGTAAGGAAGCCGGTCCTCCCTGGGCTGCTGGGACAGGGGAGGCCTTTTGCCAGAGATGCCGGCAGGAGAGACAATGGTCAGGGGCAGGGGGGGTCTCCTCAGCACAGCCTGGGGACAGGGAGCCAGTGGGTGTGGAGGAATAGCAGCGCCTTGGTGGCAGCTGAGAACCTCGTCCCAAATGCCACCACTGAATTCCTATGTGCCTGGGCCCCCTGTCCCCTTTGTGAGCCTCAGTTTCCTCACTTGGACAGTTGGGCAGTTCCCAAACCTGGCTGGTCCTCAGGCATCTGGGGACACTGAAATAGACAGGACTGTCATCTCCTCCGACCTTCTGATCTGAGCCTCCAGGGAAGGCTCAGGGGGGCTGGTGTGCAGGGGCAGGGCCCCCCAGCGCCCACAGCCCCGGCCCCCCCAGCCTGCAGGTGCTCCCCGGTGGGCTCCAGCTCAGCCCAGTGCCACGAGAACAGCACCTGTGTGTGCAGACCCGGCTTCGTGGGCTACAAGTGCGACCGCTGCCAAGAAAACTTCTTCCTCGCGGCGGACGGCACACGCTGCGAGGAGTGCCCCACCTGCTACGCCCTGGTCAAGGGGGAGGTGAGCGCGCCCACCCCGGCCGGGCCAGGCCACCTCGTGTTCCCGTCCATTCCACACTCGGCGCTGCGCGCTCTGTGCGGGGCGTGGGGTCTGCCTGCTCGCCCACAGCTCCTGGGCCCTCGGTCCCCAGCAGCCTTCTCCCTGTGCCCACAGCTCCTGGCCCTTCCTATTTTCTGGGTGAACAGGAAAGAGTGGCTCTTGTCACATGACCTTCCTGACTGCCCTGGGCCAAGGTCCCACGCTTCCTCTGGTTTGGTGGGGATGAGACGATAACGATCCTCCCGTGGGGAGGTGACGCAGGCCCCCAGGCACAGGGAGAATTTTGGGCAGGGAGGTGGGTGGTGCAGGAGGTAGGAGGCTAAGCTCTGGGGTAATCCATTGGGGTCCCCTTCTCAGCCCTGTTAGTTGACACGTGCCCAGGCAGATGGCAGTCTTGGTAAACCTCAGTGTCTCTCTCCTACTGCAAAACAGAGAGGGTTCAGGCCTGCACCCGCTCCCTGGACTCGAGTGGGCTGTCCACAGCATGTGGAGTTGCAGAGGCCAGACGGTGTGCAGCAGGCCCAGGCACCGACGGGGCGCGGCAGTCCTGAGCCAGCCCACCGGGGTTCTGCAGGCGTATTTATGCCACGTGGCTGAATAAACACCCCAAGCAGCCTTTTCCAGAACCATTTTGTTTCCAAATGAGTTCAAGGCAGATTTTGCTATCAAGGAAGGAAAGGAAAGCTTTGTAGTTCGTCACAGCATTTTGGATTTGGGGACTAAGGTCAGGGCTCTGCCCTCATGGCCCTCGGCTTAGGGTGGTTGGCAGGTGTTCATGCCAAGGCTGCCTTCCGTCTGGGCAGTTATTGTGTCTGATTAAAAGAACAGGCGTTGGCTGGGTGCAGTGGCGCATGCCTATAATCCCAGCGGCTCGGGAGGCTGAGGCAGGAGGATCACAAGTTCAAAGCCAGTCTTACCAACTTAGCAGGGCCCTAAGCAGTTCAGCAAGACCCTGTCTCTAAATAAAATCAAAAATAGGGCTGGGGATGTGGCTCCATGGTTAAGTGCCCCTGAGTTCAATCCCCAGTACCAAAAAAAAAAAAAAAAAAGAACTGACTCGGGGCATCCCACAGCACATGCAGGCACAGGTGCCCACGGCACACCCACATGGTGACAAGTCCTAGGAGTTCAGTGCCCAGGACAGATGGGCACGGGCCCTCTTCCATAGACCAGGCGTGTGCTGGCTCGGTATGAGCAGGTGTCTGAGCAGGGAAGGGAGGGACAGCTGCCGTGGAGTGGGCAGGGCTGGTTCTCAGGGCTGCTGGGCCTTAGCTTTGAAGCTGGGGAAGGGAACCCAGGAGGGGGACAGGTCAGGCAGAAGCCAGGGGTAGGTATCCAGGGAGGACTGCAGGTCACCAGCCTCACACCTTTTCTTCCCTGTCCCCTGAAGGTGGCCAAACTGAAGGCCAGGCTGACCTTAATGGATGGATGGCTGCAGGGCTCCAACTGTGGCCCCTGGGGGCCACTAGACATTCTGCAGGGAGAAGCCCCACGTGGAGACATCTACCAGGGCCACCACCTTCTGCACGGTACGGAGCAGGAGTCCAGGGGCTGGCTGGTCAGAACCCAGTGCACAGCCTTCAGCCTGGGCCTGTCGGATGCTTTGAGGGCTCTCAGTCCTGTCATGCTGGGAGCCTGTCCTTCAGTGTCCCCAGCCTGCCCGTCCCTGTGTTGACATCAGTCTCCATACCCCCCTTGTAAGCGTGGTGCAGATGGGGCAGTCATGACCCAATCGCATGGCAGGTGAAGGCTCGATGCTGTTCCAGAGGCTGGGCAGGTGGAGTCTGGGCAGGTGGGCAGATTCTTGGCCCTGGGCTCACTGTCGTGCTCACCCATCCCCTGCACACACAGTGCGGAACACGTGGGAGATAAGTGAGCAGTTAGCAAAAAAGAAGACCTGCGGCTAAAACCAGGCAGAATGTGGCCTGGGAGGGGACATTTAGAGGGCACTGAGAGGACTGGTGTTCTGTGAGAGTTCGTTTCCTAGCACGGTGCTAGGTGACCGTTGGGGCCACCCACAGGTGAGCTGGGCACCTGGTCCAAGGCTAGCAAAAGAGGGAGCGAGCAGGTGGCAAGTTTTAAAGTGTCCACACCTGGGCATCCTTGGGAATTGCCGAGCTGACTTGGGCAGAGAGTCACTGACGTCCCAGATTCTGGAATTGCTTGCAGTGGCTTAGAAGGCCTGGGTCCCTTCCAGGCCCCTGAGTGTGGCTGACGCAGCGTGTGGGACTGGGGTGGCGATTCGCCTTCTCCAGGCTTTAGCCTTTGCATCTGTAAAATGGGCAGAGTCTTTTGGACTCAGCATGGGGACCCAGGCTGGTGATGGGATTCGCCTGTGCCCAGGGAGAGTGGAGGCCACAGACAGGAGCCTGGGGGTGGGGGCTTTAGTATGGAATCTCAACTTCTCTGTGACCCCTGGACTGTGGGCTTCCTGCAGGGGCCCGGGAAGCCTTCCTGGAGCAGATGACAGGCCTCGAAGGTGCTGTGAAGGCCGCGCGGGAGCAGCTGCGGGTGCTAAGCAGGAGCGCCCGCTGCAGCCAGGCCAGGACCCAGAAGACCTGCATCCAGCTGGCCGACCTGGGGGCAGCCCTAGAGTCCTCAGAAGAGGAGATTCTGCACACAGCCTCTGTTCTTACCTCTCTGGTACCCGGGGCCCTCCCTCACTGAGCCTGGGCATGGGCCCTGCCATTGACCTGGTGACCCTGGGCCTCCCTCTGCCTCTAGGAGGCTCCGGTCATCTGAAAACTGGAAGTCAGACTGAGCCTCCCCCACAGGCTGGGTGAGCTAGGGTGTGCAGAGCCAAGATGTCCCAGGTGGAGCTGCCTGGGTGGCACGCGGCGGGTGGGACTGGTCCTTCTGTGTTGGAGGATTCGCGCACGGCCTGCCGACTCAGTGGCCAGCTTTGCATGGTCATAAATTACTGGCACGGTCTGATTCTTCACAGTAATTTAGCCGGATGTGGCCCTAAGAAAGGACGGGCCTCAGTTTCGCCTCTTGTCTCTAAAGGTGATTGTGCAGGAGGGGCCCGGCCAGCCCACCAACTGGACTCATCTGGCCACAGAGGCCCGCGCCCTCTCCAGGAGGTGAGCCCATGCCCCAGGGAGAGCTGAGGTCCTGTCCACGCCATCCCCCAGCCCTTGTCTGGGGGACTCTAGGGCCAGGGTCAGCCCCACAGGTGTCCCTTCCCCAGGAGGTGGGATCCCATGGATCCAGGCCGCCCCCCAAGCACCTGTCACCACATTGGAAGGAGAGATGTGTGAGAAGCCGTGGGCCAGAGGTGCCTGGGCAAAGCTCGCTTGCCTTGGGCACAGAGCACCTGGCGGCTCCCTGGTGGCTGCTCGGTTGAGGAATATTTCACCCGGCACAGCCCAGTGGTCTGACCCCAGAGCCGTCCACCCCCGCAGCCCCTTTCAGAACATTCTCATCCCCCTTTGCCTCTCTTCAACCTCCCCAGCTCCCCGCAGCCCTTCACCTGCCCTCTGTCTCGATGGACTTGCCTGTTCTGGGCATTTCCCATAAACGGCGTCTAACGCGGTCTTTCTTATCTGCCCCATTTGGCTTTCACATAGTGTCTTCAAGGTTCATCTGCAGAGGAGCATGGAGCGGTCCTTGTTCCTTTTATGGCTCTGTGCTATCCCAGGGAACAGACACACCACATTTTGCTTACCCGATCACCCCTTTATTTGGATTCTTCTCTCAGCTGCCTTTATGAAATCGCTTATGATCCTAAAAACATAGACTCTGTAGCAATTTTCCTCTTTATCTCCAAGAACCTTAGACTTATTTTACAGATGAGGAAATACATTCAGAGAAGTCAGGTGACCTACTTAAGGACTCACAGCTTGGAAGTGATGATGCCAGGATTTGACCCCAGGCTGCCTGGGCCGTCTCCTCTGAGCTGTGTCTGTTAGGGTGACTGCACAGTCACTGCCCAAGCTGGGAGGGTTTCATGTGTGTGAAAGGCCTGTGCTGGTCCTTGTGCCAGGCCAAGGTCCTCCCTGGTATGGAACAGGAATGGGATGTGTGCACCCTTTCCGTGGTCCTGCGTGTGACTGCCAGGCAGGTAGCAAAACAGTCTGTCCTGCAAGGGGCCCGTGTGCTAGGGGCGTGGGTTTGGGCCAAACCCCTGCATGGGCTCTTGCTGATGGCCGGGGTGACTTGCACAGCCACAGGGACACTGCTGCCAAGATCGAAGCCGCTGCAAGGCGTGCCCTGCTCGCCTCCAACACAAGCTACGTGCTGCTCCAGAGTCTGGTGGATGGTAGAGTGGCCCTGGAGACCCAGCGGGAACTGGAGGACAGGTGGGACCTCCCCAGGTGCAGTAGAAGCTTGGGCTTAGCCTCCGGGAGCCCACGGGGCCTACGCAGAGGCTGCTGGCTCCAGAACCAGCTTCCCCTGGGTCCCAAGGTGCTTGGTGGTTGGTTGGGGAGTCTGAGGTCTGCGTCCCACTTGGACCTATGGGCCTGTGAGACCCGTTGGTGGACTGAATTAATGAGGAAGGAAGAGTGTGGTCTGCTCACTGCCTTTCCAGCTCATTTGAAAGCTACGAGGTAGCAGCCACTTTCCAAGGCTGAACTGGAACCCCGAACAGTGAATCAATCTCCCTCTCTCCCTCCCAGCAGCAAGCCCCAAGTCCTCCCACCAAGTCCAGATAGCTCCTCTTTGGCACCAGCTCAGTTCAAGGGTCAAGGTGATCTGCAGCGTTTTGCCTGAGCTTCACATTTTCATTTCTAGATGAGACAATCTGCTTGGCTCAGCTGGGATTGGGTGTCCAGCCAGTTGGCTGGGCTGGGGTGAGGTCACATGACCCACCCCTGGTGGGAAGCACTGTCCTTCTGGGACTGATAAGGGGTGCAAAGGAAGCTGAGGGTGGAGGAGGAAGGCTCCGCCCCAGTGGTGGCCATGGTGGGGCAGGACCACGTGGGGTGGGCTGTGGGCAGCTGGCCAGGACAAGAAACCACGGACTTCAGGCTACAGTCCCTGTAGCCACTGCACAGCCCAGGGGTCACTGTCTGTGGACAATGACAGGCTCAGGGTCACCAGCAAGGGCAGGGCCCTGGCCACGTGCTTCCCACGCCAGGCATCTTCCTCCTCACACTTCACCCAGACCAGCTGAACATCTGCAAACCATGTGCTTGTCGGGTGGAGAGCAGGCGGGAGCCCTTCCAGAAAAGAGTGGGTGAACTGAATGAATGAAGAAAGAAGAATGTGCTCGTTCATTGCCTTCCTGGTGCACTGCAAGGCTGCAGAGAAGCAGCCACTTTCCAAGGCCAGCTGCTGGGTGCCAAGCGGCCCAGGATGTTGGAGAGGACTTTGCAAAGCCCGGGCTCCAGCCAGGGACCCAGACAGCAATGGGGAGGGACAGCCCTGTGCCCTGGTTGGAGAACCAGCCTGGCCTCTGTCTCCTTCCAGGTACCAGGAGGTCCAGGAAGCCCAGAAGGCACTGGGCACGGCTGTGGCAGAGGCACTGCCCAAAGCTGAGAAGGCGCTGGCCGCCATGCAGCACGTCGTTAATGATGCAGCCCCGCACGGGGCCTTGCTGGCCATCCCTGCAGCACCGGTCAGCTCAGTCATCGTCGAAGCTCTGCATGGGGTAGGGGTGGACACTCTAGAGGCTGGAGAAATCCAGTGGGCAGAGACAGAGGATGTGGCTTATATTTAACTCTATGTGGTCGATTAAAACGAGATAATCGTAGCTGGACCCCACACCTTAATCCCAGCTACTTGGGAGGCTGAGGCAAGAGAACCCCAAGTTTGAGTCCAATCTAGGCAATTTCCTGAGACCCTGTCTCAAGATTTAAAAAATGGCTGAAGAGTTGGAGGTGGCTCAGTGCTGGAGCACTTGCCTAGCATGCACAAGGCCCAGCACCGCCAAAGATAAAACTTAAAAAGTGAAATAAAAGGAGATAATCCACCCCAGGGCTTGGCGGGGTTAGAGCTCGGCTGCCCTTTGTGGGGATTAGAACAATATCAAGGCTGCAGCCTCTTCTCCATGCTAATGACGGTGGTAAGGATGCCAGCCAGACATGGGAGGAAACCTCAGCTCTGCCACTCCAGCTTTGTGACCTTGGCCAAGGACTTTCCCTCCCTGAGCCTCAGTGACTTCATCTGTCACGGGGACCTGGTCTGTTAGGCTATTTCAGTGCTGATTCCACAGGGGCGGGGAGGGCATCTGGGCATTTCCTGCGAGCCCACCATGCTGTGCTCGCGAACTCTGAATGCATCAGGCCCAGCCTGTCTGTATAGTAATCCTGAAATCCCCCAACTCAGAAACCCAGCTTTAATAAAGTAGCTGGCTGGCTGGGGGTGCAGCCTGGTAGCAGAGCACGTGTCTAGCATGCGTCAGGCCCTGGGTTCCGTCCCCAGGCAGTAAACTTATACAAATTAAGTGCATTTGGGACAGAACCTGACCCAGACCGCCTGCCCATGGCTGCTTTGCCCCTCTGCTGCCTGTGAGGAGTGACACGGGGGTATTAGTATGTGTGGTGGGCTGCTGTCCCAAATACCATGAAGGGCCTGGCTCACATGCAGCTCCTGAGCAGCTCTGCTTTGCACGGTTTGAAAAATTCTGCATTCTGAAGCCTATCTGCTGGAGGTTTTGGGTAAGGGAGTGGGGGCCAGGGAGAGATTCTCACTTCGCCGTTAGGAGATGCATAGCTAGAGGGTAGTGCGGCTAGGCTCTGAGCCTCCCTGGCCTCACTTCTCTGCTGTGGCCCCTCAGCTTCCCAGGGTCCACACTAGCTCCACCCACACTGTCCTTGTCCTTGTCCCTGTCCCTGGGCTTCCGGTGCAGTGGAGGCACTGACTCTTCAGAGGCATGAGACTTGGTGCAGGGCTGGCAGCCCCAAGCTGACCCTCAGCCCAGCGGGGCCTCTTTCTCCGAGTAAAGGATCTGGTCCCTAGCCCCCACCTGAGCCACCATCTCCCCACAGCCTCTGAAGTCCCAAGCTGGGGACCTGGACTCCAAAGCGCAAGTCCTGGAGAAGACAGTTGCATCAAGAGACCGTGTGGCCACCGAGGCTGTCGGCACCCTCCGGGCCGCTGCCCAGGCAGCGCTGCAGAAGACAGAGCCCCTCACGCAGGTGAGCCCCTGTGCTTCTTTGGAGCAGGGCAGCTGCAGGAGGCAGGGTCTGCTCTGACGGAGATCTGGGGTCTAGGGAAGGAGAAGGGCAGGAAGGAGCTCTTTCCATTTCTCTGGTGCCTTCCCCCAGGCTCCAGAGACCCTCAGGCAGCCTGAGCAGGAAGGACAGACACATGGACAGGCAGACGCAGGCGACGCCCACCCTTCTCAGTATCAGTTACAGCTGGTGGTTCTTGTTCATTCCCTCCTTCAGTTATCAGAGGGCCAGATACTGAGTGAGCACCTACTTTGAGCTGACCCTGGACTCAGTGCTCAACCACACAGCCTGGTGCTCGCAGTCTAGGAGAGAAGGCACCGGATGATTGGGGAACGCAAGGAGAATGAGGGGTGGATCTGACTTATGCCAGTTGTTCTGGACCTTTGAGAGTGTCAAAGACCCCTTCAAGATAACCAGGATTGAACCCAGGTGCACTGGACCTCTGAGCCCACCCCCTGCCCTATTTTGTATTTTATTTAGAGACAGGGTCTCACTGAGTTGCTTAGCACCTCACTATTGCTGAGGCTGGCTTTGAACTCACAATCCTCCTGTCCCAGCCTCCTGAGCCGCTGGGATTACAGGTGTGTGCCACTGCACCTGGCTCAAGATAACTTTTTAAAAAACTTTTCATTTGATGCACAGTGGCACACGTCTATGATCCCAGTTCCTTGGGAAGCTGAGGCATGAGGATCACCGGTTTAAAGCCAGCCTCAGCAACTGAGTGAGACCCTAAGCAGCTTAGCAAGACCCTGCCTCAAAATGAAAAATTAAAAGGGCTGGGGTGTGACTAAGTTGTTAAACACCCATGGGTTTCATCCCCAGTACCAGAAAACTTTGAAAAAGTTTTCTATTTGGAAATAGTTTTAGGCTTACAAAAATGTTATAAAGAAATTACCAGAGGGACTGGGGCTAGGGCTGGGGCTCAGTGGTAGAGCGCTTGCTTAGCATGTGTGAGGCCCTGGGTTCAATCCCCGGCAACCACATAAAAATGAAAAAAAGGTATTATGTCCAGCTACAACTAAAAATATTTTAAAAAAGAAAGTACAAAGGATCCCCCTGCCCCTTTACATGGGCTCCCACCGGGTTGGGCATTTTATCCAACTCAGTGTGAACATCAGATTCAGGAAGGCCATGTGGTGCCTTCCAGGGCCTGATCCTCAGACCTCGGCCAGGTCCCACCCACGGTGCCAAGGCGGCCTAGCTGGACCACCTTCATCTTCCCCGTTTTTTTTGTACTGAGGATTGAACTCAGGGCACTGGACCACTGAGCCACACCCCAGCCCTGTTTTGTATTTTATTAGAGACAGGGTCTCACTGAGTGGCTTAGGGCCCTGCTAAGTTGCTGAGGCTGGCTTTGAACTTGCGATCCTCCTGCCTCAGCCTCCCGAGTTGCTGGGATCATAGGCGTGTCCACCGCACCCGGCTCATCTTCCCTTTAAAGACAGGAAAAGGGTTTCTTTGTGAGGAACTGAGGAACAGGGCCCGGCCTGCCCCACACCTGGAGAGCTTTGCTGTGGGGGTCCCCAGGATAGTGCCTGCCCATGGGGTCCACTGGTCCACTGTCTAGAGAGGGGCCAGGAAGAGAGTGACCTCCCCAACCCCCTCTGAGAGCTGTCGTCCATCAAGGCCGGACCCCCATGCACGGAGGCCCTGCCCACCCCCCCACAGCACCCCCCTTCCTCCTTCCAGAGCTTCATTTCTCTTTAGTCACATAAACGTTAGGGTCCACTCTGACATAAGTTTAAAAGCATGGATATAATTGTCTCAAATCCCAGCACTTCCCCTTCCCTCCCCTCCTCCCTCTCCTCTTGCCCTGGACCAAGACTTGGGTCCCTCTATGGCTGGACATGCTGTCTTTGCCCACGCCTCCATCAAACCCCAGATCTTGAAGCGCCCAGTTTCGTTTCGTGGTGGTGGAAGAAGCTGCCCTCCTGCGAGGAGGAGCTGATGATGGTCGATTGGCCAGCTGGCCGAAGCAAAAGCAAAAAACGCTCCTGGAAAGGAGTGTCCCTTGTCCTCTGTCCTTCGGTTCTTGTGCTGGGTTTCCCTCCACAGGTGCCTCAGGTGTCTTCAGGGGCCAGGGTCAGGTGTGGCAGTATTGAGGGGGTTGGGTAACTCCATGTCAGAGGTGCGCTGAGTGATGCTTGGGGACCCAGTCTGTGTGGACTCTGCCTTCAGACTCTCTTCTCCCTCCAGCTGCGCCAGGAGGCCACAGCTGCTCTGGCCCGAGCTTCCTCGTCTGTCCAGGCTGCCACAGTGACCGTCACAGGAGCCAAGACCCTGCTGGCTGACCTGGAAGGTACGTGTGCCCAGCTGAGCCCTGGGCTCTGTGACACAAGTACCCTGACAGCCACCAGACTCACCTCAGCAAGTGCAGGCCTGGGGTGGGGGGTCAGAAGTCCAGTGGTGTGGGCCTAAGCCATGTGGCCACCCCAGCCCCATCTCAGGACCCCTCCCCAGGCTGCACATCTCTCCCCGTCTCGCACATGGCTCCCTGGGTACCAGCCCACCTGCCATCCCACCCACCCCAGGACCATCAGACCTTGCACAGACCCCTGGGGACCCCATGGGGAGAGAGTCTGAGCTGGAGCTCCCGGGAGCAGGGGGCTGCTCTGCAGAAGGCAGCGGGGTCCCTGCGGGGCCAGGCCTCGTTGGAGCTTTAGAGAAATGAGGCCGAGACGGGCAGGCGAAGTACAGGCTGCTCATCCACCCCCAGGTCAGAGCTTAGCCGAGTGGAAACGGCCAGCGTCAGCAGGCCCCAGCTCCGGGTGCCCAGGGTAGTGGGCGTCTGCGTGTCCTCTCTGCTCCACAGAGAAGCCGGGTGGTTCCTTATCCAACAGTCAAGACAGGCAGGGACGATCCCCAGCCCAGGAGTCTCTTAGGGCCTGGGACCAGGAGCCAGGCTTGTGCTGGCCATCTGTCAGTCCCTCCAGCCCTGGGCCTGACCCTCCAGGCCTCCCACCTCCACATTCCCCAGTGGCCTGAAGTCCTGGTCACCTGCTGGCTGGGGGCCTCCTGCGGAAAGTCCTGGCTGTGTGCTTGTGAACCAGAGTCACATTTAGGAACAAGTTCATTCAGCGACTCCTAATAAGGGAATTTTAGACATCAGGGTTGTGAAGGGGTGTCAACGTCACCTGCTGGGAATCTGCCCTGCAGGGCTCGCTCACCTGCGGTTTGCTGCTGTCCCCGGCAGTGAGCTGTTCCCAGCAGGCCATCCCACTGCTGGGTGGTTCCAGAATACATTCCTGCAGTTCCTGCACGTGCTGGGTGGCAGTTGGCCTCCCCGGCCCTGCTCCATGTTCACACACAGACTGCCCTCCACCCTCCTCCCCGGCTCTTCCCCTCTCCATCCCACCGCGCACACTCCCCCTGCGCCAGGGCCTAGGCTCGGTTGATGCAGGAAATGGGAGGAAACTTTGCACAAGGGGCCGAGGTGCTGCCTTCCCTGGGGCTGGGCCTGGGGTCTCCTACCCTGTGACGTGTTCTGCCAAGGCAGGCGTGTGGTCAGATGAGTTCAGGACATGTCTCCAGTGCTCTCTCGAGGCTCACCCCGCCCACTTCAGAATATCAAGGCCCGAGAAGTCCTGTGAGGAGGAGACCAGTTCACTTTACTAACTTACTCGGCGTTTCCTGTAACATGTATGAACAGCCTGAAGAATTAGGCTTAATTATACAAGAAACAAAAAGTGGATCTGATTTTTGGATACAACAATTATATAATATTATGCCCACCAAAATTGGAAGACTTGATTCTTTTTAAAAATTGACTCTGGTCTACTGTCACCTGTACTCCTTCTAATAAATTTCTCTCAAAATTCTATTGGAAAGGAAAGGAAAAGAATGGAAAAGTCCCTTTCATTATCCAGAGGGAAACAGCTTCTTACTAGATAAAGTCTATGAGAATTGTAACCTTTCCCTTTTTTGTCTTGCCTGCCTGGGAGCTCGGTGGTAAATAGAGCATTTGGTGCCTGCAATATCATTATTGTAAATTTCTGGTACTTCTCGCTCATCTTTCCTTCCTCATCCCCCTCCCAGTTACATATGGCTCTTGGTCTCCACTAGGGTAGTCTGTTGGTGCATCTGTTACCGTACAGCACTGTTAGGAATGGGTGGTACCATGAACGGTGCTGTGGGTCCCCACCCCCACCGCTGACCACCGTGTCATTTGATGACTTTAACAGACGTCCTAATATAATGTGACGTGCATCTTTAAGTTCTCTGCCCCTCTTGCTCCTTTGTGGTTTCTCCTGGGTGAGCCTGAGAAGGTCACGGGCTGATGTCACGGGTCTCAAACCTCCACTCCCATCAAGCCAGGATCGGGGGTGGTTGAGCAGCGAGGCCACTGGGCAGGAGTTCCAGGGGTGAGCCTGGCCCTGACGCAGGCTCCACCGGGTTTGCAGGGATGAAGGCGCAGTTTCCTCGGCCCAAGGACCAGGCCGCCCTGCAGAGGAAGGCGGGTGTCACCCGGGACAGGCTCCTTGCAGACGCGGAGAAGAAGACCAAGCAAGCAGAGAGGATGCTGGGAAATGCCGCTTCTCTCTCCTCCAGCGCCAGGAAGAAGAACAGAGAAGCAGAGCTGTCAGCCAAGGACAATGCCCAGGTCAGGCCAGGGCTACGGAGACAGTGGCTTTCCTACCCTCTGGGCCTGTGGCAGGGACGTGGGCACACAGCTGCCCTCTTCCCGGTCTCGTGCTGACTGTTACTAACTGCTGCCGGGGCCCCGGCTCTTAGCTCGGAGCTCACACAGGTGACCTCGTTGATTCTTTATGAAATAGGTGTCGTTGCTGTCCCCCAGGGTGTCTGGTGAGGACCCTGAGGCTCACCCGGGGTTTAGGACTTAAGTTGCATAACCAGGACTCACACCTGGGCCTGCCTGCCTTCCTTACCTAAATGGCTGGCTTTTCTGTCACTGGGGCCCTATTGTAGTGGCTGTCCCCAGCTCTGCTTCACCTTCAGGCTCACAGCACAAGGGAAGATCGTCATGGTCGCCCAGGCTTCTGAGGGGCTGGACTTGGAGTAGGCACCCCCACGATCGGTTTCTTGTCCTGCCACTGGACTTTGGCCGGCCTCCGCCTCCTCTCTGTGCCTCCATTTGTCTGTCTGTAATAGAGTTGGAACGGCTCTCCTCCAGGGAGAAATGAGTGGCTTCTTGCAGTTTTGCTGGTGCCCAGCACCAAGCCCACATCCAGTGCGTATTTGTTGAATGTGAGAGTGAGTGACCCCCCCTCGAATCCCAGCACCTGCAGAGGCTGAGGCAGGAGGTCTGCAAGTTCAAGGCCAGATTCGGCACCTTAGTGAGACTGTCTCAAAATAAAAAGTAAAATGGACTGAGGATGTGGCTCAGTGGTAAAGCGCCCCGAGTTCAATCCCTAAGTACCAGGAAAACAAGAACAAAAAGCATGGCTGGGTGAACGAGCGCATGCTCTGGGCAGGAAGCTGACCACGGCTCCCCATCTTGGCCGTAAGAGCTCTTCATCCAGAAGGCCTTATTCCAGTCCCCCTCTTCTCCCTGCCCTGATGCCCACCTGCAGCTCGCCAGGACCTTGCTGAGGGAGGGGAAGCAGGGCCACCGCCGTGCCAGCCGGCTCGCCAGCCAGACACAGGCCACCCTCCGTCAGGCCTCCCAGCTGGCGCTGACCTCTGGAGCACGCAGTCGGGAGCTGAGGGGAGCTGAGCTGGTAGGTGTGCCCGGGCCCTGCCCCATTGCCCCTGCCCCTGGCGGCCAGGAGGGACCTGCTCCAGCTCTCACCCCTCCCCAAAGGTGGGTGCCGGGCTGAGCACAGTGGAGCGGCACATCCGGGAATCTCGCATCTCCCTGGAGAAGGACATCAAGGCCTTGTCGGAGCTACTCGCCAGGCTGGGTAAGGAGACCCCCGAGGCTGGCCCTGAACTCCGAGTCCCTGTGGACATCTTCCTATGAGGCGCAGCCCCAGGAAACTTGCCACATCTCCATCCCCACCCCGCGACCCTCACGCACTGTTGCAACCACCCAAGCCCCGTGAGGAGCAGGGCGGGTGTCTAGAAGCCCTCCACTTGCCTTGCTTCTCTGTGCCCCAGGCTCCAGCCTGGCCCAGGAGGGGAGGCAGAAAACTCAGGTACTCACACCTCTGAGTCCCAGAGAAGCAGGTCAGTGCGCAGGGCCCAAGGGAAAAAGGACATCTCAGAGACAAGGGTGGGCGGCATTGAGGATTAGAAGCTGATTTAGAATCGGAAAGACCAGGGTTCAAGTCTGGCTCTGTCCCTGCTTGGTTGTGAGACCTTGGGCATGGCACTCCACCGAGTCCCCCACCCATAAGATGGGAGTAACAGCGGAGTCACTTAGAAAGCGCTTTCCACAGCACTGGGTGCGGAGAGAACCAGAAGACAGCAGCTCTTAGGAAGGAGGTCAAACTCCAGATGGGCCAGGAAGAGGCTTATAGATGAAGGGGACAGCCCCCACCAAGGCATGGAGGTCCCAGAGGCCCCTCATGGGAGGACAAGAGTCAGAGCAGTTACATTGAAGAGAACATCACACATTTTTTAAAAAAAAATTGTGGAAAAATGCACATAACGGTATTTACCATTATAACATATTTAAGTGTGCCATTCAGTGAGTGTTAGCTCTCTGCTACTGTGACAAAATACCTGAGATAATCAACTTAAAAGGAGGAATGGTGCTGGGTGAGGGGGGTGCACATCTGTCCTCCCAGCAACTCTGGAGACTGAAGCAGGAGGATTACAAGTTTGAGGCCAGCCTGAGCAACTTAGCGAGACCCTCTCTCAGAAGGTCAAAGGGCTGGGGGTGTAGCTCAGGGATAGAGGGCTTGTCTATCATGAATGAGGCCCTGGATTTAGTCCCCAGCACTGGAGGGAGATGGGGGAGAGGAAGATTTTATTTCAGCTCCATGTTTCAGAGGTTTCTGTCCTCTCTGCTTTGGGCCTCTGGTGGCCCAGAACATCATGGCGGGAGCACATGGCAGAGGGGCCTGTTCCCCTTGGGAACCAAAGAGACACAGGAAGGGGCCAGGATCCTGAGATCCCCTTCATGGGACGTCCCCAGGGACCTAACTTCCTTCCACTAGGCCCCACCTGCTATAGGTGCTACCACCTCCCAATCGTGTCCCTGGGCTGGGGACCAAGCCCTCAGTACATGAGCCTCTGGGGGTCATCTAAGATCCAAACTATTCTGAAACATTAGGGACATTCACACAAGCCATCCCCCCACCTGTCTCCAGAACTTTCTCAGCCTCTCAAATAGAAGCACTGCCCCCACGAAACGCTAACTCCCCATCGCCCTCCAGCTCCGAGCACCTACCCTTCTCCTCTTTCTGACCTTGACTTCTCCAGGTACCTGGCATAGTGGAGTCACGTGGAATTTGTCCCTTATTGACTGGCTTGTTTCACTTAGCGTGACTTCAAGGTTACCCCATTGCACGGGTCTCTCTGGATGACCGTGTTCCCCGGGTTCGTCTGTACCAGGCCCACGCTCAGTGGGTCCCACACAGGACTTACAGGAGTCTCCTACTCCTGCTGCGGGGACAGTTACTCTCTTACCATGTTGCAGGGGAAACTGAGGCACAGAGATCTTAGCTACCGTGCCCAGGTTCCCACAGCCAGTCTGTGGGGAAGAACAGTGTACATGTGGCTCTGACTGCCGCTGTGTGTACCTGTGGCCGCCAGTCTACACCCCACAGCAGCATGGGACGAATGCTCTACAAGGGCAGACCACACTGACTGCTGTCGCCGTCACACATCCGTCCGTCCAACTCCGCGCTTGACGCCGGGCTGTGGGGTTGACCATATAGACCTGGACGGAGCCCCTGTTGCTCTGGGCAGCCCAGGCAGGTGGAGCGGTGGCTGTGACCTGATTCTGAATCTCGAAGGCCAGCTGTTTGGATTTTCCTGTGGACAGTGGGGCCTGTCGAGGTCTTTGCTGGAGGCAGAACTTGCCCAGGCCAGCGGGTCTCAGCCCCACTCTTCCTCTTCTTGCCCTCGGACCCAGCCTCTCTTGCCTGGGACATTCAGGGCCTTGAGGAGCCTCAGGGCCCAGTGGGATCCAAGGCCACTCTGGACCCACTGCGCCGTCTCCATCGCTCTCCCAACTGGCTGAGCTCTGTCTTTCTCTTGCATGTCACACTTAGTGACAAGGTGGGGAAGGCCTTGTGGAGTCCCTGCCAGCATCACTACTGCCAGTTTCCAGTGGGAGCATCTTCCCCACCCGCTCATCCGAGGCTTGGGGAGGCTCAGGGAGTCCTTAACTCCTGGAAGTAGAGCTGACCACTCAGGGTCTTCCCTGCCTTCCACACCTGCAGCCCATCCTGCCCCTGTGAAGCCAGAAACCCTGCCTCTTACCCTGTTAGTTTTTGTCACTGTGACAAAATACCTGAGAGAATCAACTTAGAGGAGGAAAGTTTTATTTTGGCTCACAGCTTCATTACTCTTGGCCTTTGGTAGAGGAGAACACCAAGGTGAAATGGCATGGCGGCTAGGAAGCAGAGGAGAAGGCAAGGAAGGGGAAGGACAAGATGTAGTTCCCAGCCAGGTGCAGTGGCGCACACCTGCAATCCCAGCAACTTGAGAGGCTGAGGCAGGAGGATCCCCAATTCGAGGCCAGCTTCAGCAATTTAGTGAGGGCCCTGAGCAACCCAGTGAGACCCTGTCTTAAAAAATATAAAAGGGCTGGGGATATTGCTCAGTGATTAAGAGTCCCTGGGTTCAATCCCTGGTAGCCCCTCACCCCCCAAAAAAGATGTAGTTCCCAAGGAACCAGTTCCTTCAGCCAGCCCCCACCTCCCGCACTTTCTGCCTCTTCCCAGTCAAGCCATCAGATTAGGAATCCCTCATGGACTGATCCATGGATGAGGTCCACTCATGAGCCAAGTGTTTTCCCAAAGCCCCACCTCTGAATGTGACTGCTTTGAGGACCAGACCTTCAACATGAACTTTTGGGGACATTCCAGATCCAACCAGAGCACCCCCAAACCCCACGCCCCGCACACAGGTGGTGCCCACAGATGCACCCTTGGTGAACAGATGCAGCACGTTCCACTCGTGGGATCATAGGGCCTCTCTCGCACTGTTGCAGAAGAGGAAACTGGGGCTCAGAGAGGACTCAGCACGGCCTTTGGTTCTTTGGACAATGGTAGTAGTACATGCACAGAAGTGAACACTATCCAGGGCCACCAGGCGGGCAGTTCCCAAGTGTGCCCATGAGCCTGCTGGGATCCACAGGTCCTCATGGCCCCCACAGCCCTCCCAGTCCTGTGTTTCCCTGGTAGGTGGTGAGCGGTCAGACTCCAGGAGGTTTGAGCTGGGAAGAGTCCTGGGATGGGGGCTGAACAGGTTCCTGGGGCCACCAGGGTGCTGGCTCCTGCTGAGGGTGTCTGTGCCTCTCTGCAGGGTCACTGGATGCCCATCAGGCCCCATCCCAGGCCCTGAATGAGACCCAGTGGGCACTGGAAGGTCTGAGACGACAGCTAGGCTCACGGGGAGCCCTGCAGCGGAAACTGAGGCTGCTGGAGCAGGAGTCGGAGCAGCAGGAACTGCAGATTCAGGGCTTCGAGAACGACCTCGCTGAGATCCGCGCAGACAAGCAGAACTTGGAGGCCATTCTGCACAGCCTGCCCAAACACTGTGCCAGTTGGCAGTGAGGCCCCTAGGTCCCAGCACACACTCCCCACCTCCTGTTTGCTGGCTTGGGCACACACACCCCTCCACAGGTGTGCCCACACAGGCGTACCACCAAAACAGGGGGCCGTGTGCCCCATGTGAATACCATCCTCCCTCCCTGGTGGGTTTGGGTCTTCCTCTTCCTGGAAGTAGTGAGGACCCATTCACAAGTGGCCCCGTGTGTAAGGCCCTGCTGGGACATCTTCCCTGCACATTTGTGTAAGACACACACACGCATTTAGTCTCCTGGTGCCCGATCACGCTGCGTGCACACAGGACAGTCAGTCCTCTGTTGCGGTGAGAGCCGCCTTGTGTGGGCGCCCTCTGCAGGTCGGGGCAGCTTGTGCAAATTTCCTGCAGTGCTAAGGCTTCCAAGCTCCAGAGAGCAGGGGCCCAAGTAGTACTGGCACCTGGGAAGATGAGAGGGACTGCAACGAGCTAGACCCAAGGCCCAGGGTCCCCTGAGGTCACAGCACGGTCTGCTAATCCAGCAGGACAAGTCCCACTGCTGACAGGGACATCCTTGTCTTTCTGGACACTTCCCTTCCAGGGTCTGGGTCTGCCCCAGACTCAGCTGCAGGTATCCTGGGCCCTGGTCCCCTTTCAGCCTGTGATCTGTCCAGAAAGCCAGGCCCTCAAGGGTCCAATGGGACCTGGATCATAGGGCCTTAGGCCACTGGGAACACCCCTTTGTGTCCCTGCTGACCGGGTTAACTTTGATTGACACTTCCTAAACTGGCCCTGCAGCTCTGTCTACCACCTGCGGGTGTGGAACCCTGGCCACCATTCCAGTCTGTCCTGCCTGGGAGCCCTCCTGTGGCCAGGCCCTGGGGCCTCTGGCCTCCCGGCATTTCCTCCTGGCATTCCTCCGCCCTCTCCTGGGCCCTCTTCCAGAAGTCAGCAGGGCCTTGGCACAGTGGTGACTTGTGCCCTCCTCCCTCTGCTTCCCGTGCCCCTCACCCTGTCAAGGGAAACGTGTGGCAACGTGGACCTATTTATGAGGAAATAAAGGACCCTTTCCCCAGCTGGTGACATGTGTTTTGATCCTTTACTGCTGGTGGGTAGCCAGGCCGAGCTGTGGGTACACGTGTGGCAGTGCCTCTGTAGATGCCCAGCGAGCAGGTGGAATGGACGTGTGCCGACCCCTCCTGTCCACACACAGTGGAGCTCTTCCCACAGGGAGCCTTGCTGAGGTCCCGGCACCACGGCACCACTTTCCTCTTGGCTCGGGGATGGGGGGACTTGTCAGGCAAAGTCCAGGGGCTGGGGGAGCTTGAGAGATGGATAGAGAGGCCCTCAGTGGAACTTTGGTTTAGGTGGAGACACTGAGGCAGGAAATAGTGATCTCAAAATAGTGTCCTGCTGGGTGTAGAGGCACACACCTGTGATCTCAGCCACTCAGAGGCTGACACAGGCGGATCACAGCTCAAGGCCAGTCTCAGCCACTTAGACCCTATCTCAAAATGAAAAAGGGCTAGGGACTTCGCTCGGTGGTAAAGCATTCCTGGGTTCAATCCCCAGTATGAAAAAAAATTAAAATAAGTTTGTGGCTGACCTGGGCAATTAGGGAGACCCTGTCCCAAAAAAGAAAACTAAAAAGGGCTGGGGGTGCAGCTCAGTGGTAGAGCACCTCGAGTTCCATCCCCAGTACTGTAAACGACAACAACTGAGTCCCACAGCAAGGAGTAGGGAGGGAGGCTAGTGAGGACACGGGGGCAGGGAGGGGCATTCTGGACCAGGCAGCAGTCTGGGGTTGGAGTGGGCCTGGCCAGCATGGGTCCCTCTGGAAACCCCGGTGGAGGATGGGGTGGTAGAGCACACTCCATCAGGGTTCCCCGCCACAAGCCCACAGCTCTTCCTGAATTGGTTTAGGCAGAAAAGGAGAGTCTGTTGGAAGGACCTCTTGGAACCCTGGGGTGGGAAAGGCTGCCCTGCCTTGGGGGCAGCCTGAATGAGCCTGTGTGGTTGGGAGGTCTTGCTCCTACTCTCCCCACCTCCTCTCTTGGTCTCGGCCTCTGCTTCTCTCTCTCTCTCTCTCTCTCTCTCTCTCTCACTAGCTCAGGTCTTTCCCTTTTGCAGATCAACTTTCTTAGCTCTTCTTGTACTTGATGGCAGAGGACAACCCCACCCCAGGGCTCTGGGTTTGCATGACATCAGGTCAAATCCTTGCAAAAGATACTGAGGTGGACACCTGTCCTGGCTCCAGCTTCCCGGGAGGGATCCACCCAGCTGGATTCAGAACCCTCCTCCCCATTCAGGATAATGAGGATCCTAACTCGGTTCAAATCCACACAATGAGAGATGGCCCAACAACTGGTCAGGGATGGCATGTAGAGGAGGGTGCACTCCTCCACAGAGATCCTTAAAATCAAGGCAAGGTTAATGTGGTCAGCACTACTAAGCTGAGCTTGGGAGTGTACATTTCCAGGCTGGGAGGGAGGCGGTTGCTCCACTGGGAATTTGGTAATAGGGGTCTGATGTGAGCAAGGCTGAGGAGATAGGGGTTCTTCAAAGACCTCTGGGACAGGGTCTGAAGTCCCTCCGGTCCACACCCACAGCTTCCCTGTTGACAGACCTTCTGATGCCTCTCTTGACAAGGTATGGGCTCAACAAAATCCAGTCCCAGCATCCTGGTGGGTGGAGAACAGGCTTCCTCTCCATCCAAGGTGATGAACTGCGGGCCTGACAGCTTATGACTCGCGTGACTGATCATGCTTGATGTATGCAGAGCCACTCTCTGGCCTCAGAGGTGGGGCTGCTCACTGCTGGGTGGAATGTGGCAGCTGCTGAACATCTGGCTAGCAATGCAGCTGAGCAGTGGGGTGGCTTCTGTCCCACCGGATGGCTGAGCCAGGTCAACCAGCCCAACTAGCCAGGGTGCCAGGCTTTGTGAGCCTGGATCAGGAGCTGCATTTATGAAGACCCTGTTCAAAGTCCACTCCCTTCCTTGGCCTCCGGGTAGACATTCTCCCATCTGCCAGGGTATAACTCCCAAGTCCTGCTTCTCTCCAGGCTTTTATGCTCTGCTCGAACCATCTAGAAAAAGTTTTAACAGCCCCCACCTAGTGACATGCTCTTGTTTTCCCCACTCTGAAGAGAGGATTGAGGCTCAGGCAGATCAAGTCCCTTGACCATGGCCATACAGGTGGTCCAAATCCAAAATCTAGGAGTGAATGGACAGAGAGTAACCAGGAGAAACTGGAGCTGGCCGTGCTGGGGAGCTGGGGACTGGTCCTCCAATGACTGAGCTGACTTTGGCCACATGCCATTCTGCCTAGCCCCACTCTGGGGACAGCCTGGCCATTACTCTCTCCACTGGCAGTCAGGAAAAAAAAAAGATGATCAGCTGGTCCCAGGATCCCAATTCTTTTTGTCTACTTATTTTTTAAATTGTAGATAGACACGACACCTTTCTTTCTTTCTTTTTTTATGTGGTGCTGAGGATCGAACCAGGGCTTCACATATGTGAGGCGGGACTCCACTACTGAGCCACAACCCCAGCCCCCAGGATCCCCATTCTAAGTGTTCTGGTGGAGACAAAGTCTGTGGGGAAGGAGATTCCCTGATCCAATCATGTGCTGATGGAGTCTTCCTTGGACCAGGTAGGTAGTGCCTGTCCATGCCAGTGTCCCCAGCATAATGATTAGGACTGGCCCTTCCACTCTCAAACTGTTCTGGTTTGGACACTAGACTTCATGGGCACTCTAGTTACAAAGTCCCCAGTTCTTTTAAGTTTTAGGTGGAAACAAGATCTTTATTTTACATGTATGTGGTGCTAAGGATTAGACCCAGGGCTCTACCACTGAGCCACCACCCCAGCCCCAGTCCCCAGGTCTTGCATCCTGAGTCCTCCTCTCTGGATTTTTTGGCTACTTTATGGGTGCCATCCCAGGCTTGGGCTTCCCTACTCTTCCGTAAAATGGGCATGCCAGGTCCTATTTCACAGAACTTTGAGAGTGCTGCAATGATTGGTGTGCAATGCCGAGCGCCTGGCACACAGTGGGAGGGAGCCTAAGACAGTTCTATTAACAAGACACAAATTCATCTAATTGACTTAAAGGGCCTTGGTGTCACAGTGGCACTACTGCGCAAACAGCTTCAGTAATGCGACAGCCTTCATTGGCTGAGCGGGTAATCCGTGCCTCGCGACCGCGCTTGATGCTCATTCGGGTCCTGGTCCCACGAAGTGTGTACCCAGATCGCCAGGTGGACTCGCCTCCAAGGTCCAGGCAGGGGTGGGGAGGCAGGGGTTAGTTGAGCGCGGTCCACGCACTGCATTGTCCCGGTCCTTCAGCAGAGGGGCGGGCGGCGGGCTTCCCCGCCAGCATAATAGCCGCTTTGATGCCCGCGGCCCGGGAGTGGAGGGGAGGGGACGAAGAGAGGGGAGGGGACCAGGGGAGCGGAGGGGAGGGGATAAGGAGAGGGAAGGGGAGGGGACGCGGGGCCCGGGCCAAGGGAGGGGTGTGTCCGGCCGCCGCGCGGTTCCTCCGCCCCTCGCTCCCGCCACCACCAGCCGCCGAAGCTCGGACCAGGCGCCAGTCTCTCCTCCTCGTCCCCCGCGGTGGCCGCCAAGCCCCGAGCCGGCGGGAGCGCGGCGCTCATCATGTCGGTCGCGCTCAGCAACAGGTTCCAAGGTAGGCGCCGTGTCCCCCAGCCATCCCGTGCGCAGCGTCCCCACCTGTGCGCGCGGGGCAGACCGCGGGGCGCGCGGCGCGCGGAAACCCGGCGCGGGAGGGGACGCGTGGCCCGGGAGCCCCGCTACCCGGCCGCTTCTTTGTCTCCTCTAGGAGGAAAGGCGTTCGGCTTGCTCAAAGCCCGGCAGGAGAGGAGGCTGGCGGAGATCAACCGGGTAAGCCGCGGCCCAGGGCAGCGCGCGGGTCGCCCCAGCTGCGCGCCTCCGGCCCTGGCGGTTCCCACTGCCCTGCGGTGCCGCCTTCAGCCAGGCAGTGTCCGCCGCAAAATCTACCCTCTCCCCCCCTTCCCCGGGGCTTCCCTCGGTTGCCGCTCTGGCCCCAGCCCTTTCGCCTCCGACTCCAGGTAGGTCCGCTCCACCTCCCTGCTCGGGGCCTGGCGTCTCGGGTTGCAAGCTGTTACCCTCGCTAGGGCGGTGGGGCCCTTCCAGGAGCTGCTGCCAGCCTGGATGTGGGCTCCCTGCAAGCCCGCTAGGGACCCGCGCAGGGTTTTGGCGCCAGAAGGGACTCCCAGGCCAAGGCTCTCCACCACACAACATAGGCTCTTGGTTCAGTCAAATGTTGGCCGTTCCCTGTGGCCTCCTTCTTACCACTCTGCCCCAACACACAGCTTCTTTCCAACTTGTAGGAAAGGTTACTGTGGGGACTACTTGCTTTTCTTGATGGTTTTGGTGAATTTCTATAAAGAAATCCTTCCAGCTGCCCCCGGGCACACAACAGGAGCTCTACATAAGTTTGGTTAATGATCGTGTGGATCCTAGGAGATGAGGAAAGGTTGTCAGGGACTGCTTGGGTTGGTCAAGGTCAGAGGCACCACAGCAGCGCACTCCAGGGGCCTGCAAGACCTGGCCTCGGACATGTACCAGCTTGGCGGTCTTCAAGGGCCTGTCACCTGGGGGCAGGGTCACTGTGAGAACTCAGTGAGGGCAGGTGTGCAGCCTGCATGAGCCAGCACTGGCACTGGGGAGGCACCCGGGAGGGTACTAGAGGTATTTGCTGAGGAAGGCGTCTCCCAGGCTGCTTCCTAACTGAGGGCAGAGTTGTACCCACTGAAACAAGCCTGGCATTCCTCCTGCTGGCTCTTTTGGGCACGGGGTGTCTAGCGCCTGAGCCCAGCTTAGGGTCCTAGGTGGAAGCTGGTGGAGGCTGTGGAGAGGTGGGCTCAGGGGCTGGAGCTGGGTAAAGGATTTCCTCTTGCCAGCATCTTGATCTTGATTTCCTCCTAGTTTTTCTTGGATGGCCTTGAAGTAGGCGGTCTGTCTCTTGTCATCCACTGAGCTATGGGGTTCTCTGGAGGGCTCTGGGCACCTCAGGGTTCGTACCATGTGGATCT